CACTGAGCAAAACCAGTCAGAGTCCACACTTGGTCTCTTGATGACTAAGAGGTTGCTTCAGGTGACAAATTTTACTTAATTCTCTGGTAGAATTATCTCTTGAAATCTATGAATATACATACAAAAATAAACGCTTAGCCACCTCAAACATGCAGGCTAATGGCAGAGGCAGGGTGATCAGGAGTCATTCTTCCTCCCTTCCTCCCCTCCCCCTCTTCGTCTCCATCCCTCTCTCCATCCCTCTTCCTCTTGTCATTCTACAAGCTTCCCAGACTTCTGCTTCATGGAGGTCCTGAGTACAGCATAGTAACGTCCTTTCCTTCCCTCATAGCCCTAAATGACAGATAAGATACGTACCCGACCGTAAGTCCACAAATTGTACAGATCCCATCCTTTGGAAATTTAGAAAAAGAGAGGGATCCAGGAGGCTTTCATGGAGGCGGACCCCTGTAAGCTGAGCCTTGAAGCCACGAAGGACAGAGGGAAGAGCAGCCTGTGCAAAGGCAGGGTGGTCGGGAAGTGAAGGATGGGGGAGGCACGGAAGCCCTGAGGCTGGGTGTGTGGGATGTGCACTTGGAGGGAAGGGCAGGTGGGGATGGTAATGGCAATGAAGAATGAGCATCTCCAGAAGAACTGGGTACAAGGAACCATGAGGAAGAAGCCACAACAACTTGCAGTGTTTATATGAAGGTTTCTCATTCCCTGTTTCATGGTCGCCGAAGTCCTGGGCACTTCAGAGTGGAGAGGAGGGGTGGTTGACAGGAGTGTCACAAAGGTGGAGGAAACTACTGCACGGAGCAGGAGGAAGAGTGAGAGGGAGCTCTTGCTGAGGTGTACCAGTTGTTCCTGCTCTGTGGGTGTGGCTGACCTGAGTTTGGATCTTTATCCTTTTTCATGCCCAGTGGAGAAGCAATCTTTACTCTTTGCAAGTGTTTGAAACCTCAGTAGAGGTTTTCCCCAGGCCAGATTTTGAGAACTAAGTAATGAGTAACAACCCATCAATTAAGACAGGTCTCGGGTGCTTTGATGGACTTGGAAATGCTTCCCACAGAGAGGAGCTTCATTTTTTCTTGTTGACTATATTGAAATGGCATTAATAATGCATCTGCTACTTAAATGGACCAGTAATGTCTATTAATGGAATGTGTTTATCATAGCACGACTGCCAGAGCAGAAGGAAAATTAAAGGATAAATTGAAATGCTTTCCACGCCTCGCTTTTCCCACCCTCGTCCCTTCTGGGCCATCCAGGGTACACAGGACTCTGAAGGAATGCTGGGTCTGGAGACGGCCCTCACAGGCCTTGTGATGGATGACCCTTCGTGGCCCAGGACAGATTCAGATCTCCTACTTCTAGGCCTTGTGTGAACCCTCCTCCTTGGGGGGGCGAAATAGAGCCACATTCACTATGTGTAAGTAACATCTGAACCTCCACTCCAAGAATCACGGTATTTGATGGGATTTGTGTTTTCTTTATTTTGCTTCCTTTAATTTTTTGGAGACCCTTTTGAGTTGGTAGCCTTTCAGGCTAAAGGGAAGGCTTTAGTGCTAGGGGAAGTCACCCGTAGGGCTGAAGGGAAAGGAGGAACTCATGTGTCTTCGGAGGATGCAGGGTGACCAAGTGCCACCTCCAAGCGGCTGATGGAAACACAGTGGGACCCTGGGCAGGCAGCTCAGTTGTTTAGAGCATCGTCCCAATGCACCAAGGTCACAGGTTCGATCCGCAGTCAGGTCACTTACCAGAATCAACCAATGAATGCATGAATAAGTGGAACAACATAGTGATGTTTCTCTCTTTCTCTTTTTAAATCAATAAAAAATTATTAAAAATAAACAATGATGTTGTTGGCCACTGTCCTACAACCAATGGTTTCCCTTTTAGAAGCTCCCTCTCATCTCCTAGAGAATGAGATTTTTTTTCTTGATTAAAGGGGTGAAAATTCTGCCTTTAAAGGCTCGCCCCATTGCACCATACTTGCTCCTTTGTAATCTATAAACCTCACAGCAGGCACAGAGAATGGTATGGGGGTGGGGGGAAGGTGGGAGTCAGAGGCAGGAGAGTCCCCAAGTAGAGCCCCCAGCACATGTCTTTGTGGGCAGCGGAAACGCTTCAGGGCCCACCGTGCTTTTCACTAGTGACTCCCAGGGTCCAGAGCCCAGCTAGATGGTCCGGGAATGTATCCAAAGCACACAGAACAGTAGACATACAATGTTGGCAATTCTTAAAGTTCAATATGTAAGGGGAAAAAGACCCTTTGTAAATCTATTTCATAATTCCCCATTACTTCACTGCTGCTACCTTAGACCAGAGGTCTCCAACCCCTATGGCCTCAGACAGGAACTGGTCTGTAGCCTGTTAGGAACCACACAGCAGGATGTAAGCAGCGGGTGGGCTTCCCTTGAATTACCTCCTGAGCTCCGCCTCCTGTCTGTCTCCGCCCTCCCTCCTGTCCGTGGAAAAATTGTCTTCCACAAAACCGGTTCCTGGTGCCAAAAAGGTTAGGGACCGCTGCCTTAAACCATCCCACTAGACAAAGTCCTGTGAACCAGATATGAATGGTTCACTCACCAGTCCTTGTCTTCAGGGTGGACAGCATTATGAATGAAGCCTGAATGGACCTTTGGGGGAAGGGAACGGAGGGGCATAGTGATGAGGCAGGAAGAGTAGCCATTTACCATTGACCCCTGACCCAGGTAGTGAAGTTTAAAAGCACTACTTGGCAGTTGGTTCCTGGCAGACCAGGGTGGAGCTCTTGGCCCCCAGCAGCCCCACAGAAGGTGCCCTTCAGTGGACTGATCCCCCACTCCTGAGGCATCATGGGAGAGCCCATTTCCCCTCAGGAAGTACTCTGACCAGGTGAGCTGGTCCTGTTCAGGCCCCAGTAGGGCAGCTGTGTGAGCTGCACACAGAATGTCATCCAGCAGAAGCCCAGGGCCCTAGAGGACAGACCCCTTCAGTGGATGGCTCGAGACTTTCTTCTAGTCTCAGCTTTTCAGGTGACCTTGGACCTCCTTCCATCAAGTGTGAAATGGCTAGACAGTCACCTCTCTGGCAGGGATCACAGTGAGTCAAGTCAGCTGATGTGAAGACTAAGTCACTGTGCTCTTGGCCATGGTGGTGAGAATTTCTGAGGCTGGGAAACCAGGCCATGTGGATTCCAATTCCGGCCCCAGTGCTCACTGGAGGTGTGGTCAGAGACACATCTACCCTCTTAGGGAAAAGTGAGGATAATAATTGTACCAACTACATAGGCTTGTGATGAGTAAATGAGCCCATACACATAAGGCATAGAGAACAGTACTTGGCAAGTGGTAAGTGCTGGTGAGCATTCGCTATGGTAACGGTGAAGAGCAGGTGGACAGGGTGCCTGGGGCTCTGGGACTGCTGACATGGGGTCTGGGCAAAACTGGAGAGGTCATCACTCAAAAGCAGCAGGAAGTTTTCTCTCATCTTGGTTTTAGGAACACCTGTGACTTGGGTTTTTGATAATACAGATGGAAGAAGCAAAGGCCCCTTCTCCCACTTCAGCTATGAAGAGCGTTGGGCCTGACTTTGTGGGTGGTTTGCAGATACTGGGGTTTGCAGCTTCTGAGAAGTGTTTTTCACATTGTTTTGACCATGACACGCAGGAAAAAATACATCATAGTGTCGTCTGTACATCATACATCAAACATACATGATATATCAAACAAAAACTTCACAAAACCATGACTACCCTTATTTTTAAATGTTTATTAATTGATTTGATAGAAACATTGATTTGTTGTTCCACTTACTTATGCATTCATTGGCTGATTCTTGTGCGCCCTAACTGGGAATCAAACCCACAACTGTGGCATATTGGGACAACACTAACCAATTGAGCTACCTGGCCAGGGCTTACCTTTACTTTATTAAACATACTCTAATATTTTCTACCTCTCTCTCTCTCTCTCTCTCTGACATGCTTGTTGTGACCCAGTAAATTGACTTCATGACCCACCAATGGGTCAGGACCTAGTAGTCTGAGAAGCCGTGCTATGAGGGAGCCCCCAGGAGGGGTCTGGCCTAGCCCTGGGGACAGCCCTTTCCCCTCTGGCCATCTCTCATGTGGTCTCTAAACTTTCAGAACAGTTACATCAGAAATTGGAGCCTGGTTGTGGCTGGGCTGTGGTGGGGTTCAGGAGGGACTGCCCACAGTGGAGAGCAAGTGAGGGCAGAGCCCCTTCTCTAAAGCCACAGGGGCAGTTACGACAAGCCAGAGGTCAGGGAGCTTGGCACTGCAGCCTCTCCAGCAGCACACAGTAGGTGCTTAGTAAAGATTTAAGGAAGCGAGAATAGGGAAGAGTGCCCTGGACTGGGGCCAGTCACAGACTTCCCTTGTGGCCTGGGGCCCCAGTTACTCCACCTGCAAAGTGAAGGCCTGGTCCCTGGAGGACCCCCAGCAACAGGACGAGACCGCGAAGCCCGGAACTCCTTTGGGGAGTGGGGAGACCCAGCGTGGCACCCTCCTGTGTTCTGCTTGTGCTCGGGGGAGGCTTTCCAGCCTGGAGCCCAGACTGCAAGCTCCTGAACGGGCACCTCCCCGTGGACTCTGATTGAGGGACATCTTCATAGGTGGGATGTCACTCCACTGAGGCTGCAAATCCCCTGAGTGTTCGAGGACTGTGTGAGGGGAGGGCTGAGGAAGAGGCTGGCAGGACATTGAGGAAGGACGGTCTGGTGCCAGTTTCCAAGCCCCTCCTCCAGGATGATGTCAGCTTCTAAAATCCCTTGTCATGAGTGGGATGGGTGGCAGCTCCAGATGCCTTTTTTGTTTAAAAAATCAGGCCTGAGCCCTGGCCGGAAAGCTCAGTTGTTCAGAGTGTCATCCTGATATGTTAGGGTTGTGGGTTCGACCCCCGGTAAGGGAACGTATAGAAATCAACCAATGAATGCATAAGGAAGCGGAACAACAAATCAATGTTTCCCTCCCTCCCTCTGTCTTCAAAATAAAAAAGAGGAAAAACATTTAAAAAATCTTGGGCCTGAGTTTGTTTATTCACTCAACCAATATGCAGTAAACCATTACTCGGCAGGTGTAGCAGTGGGCATGTGGGATACAGAGATGTCCAGGGGTAGGGTCCCTGGCCTCCTGGAGCTTACGGTCCTGGTGCGGGACAGTCAGTAAGGAAAGGAGATCACATCCCAGAATGATGTGCTCTAAGGAAACAAGAAGAGGTAACGGGATAGGAGGTTACTGGGGCTACTTTTTGGATGGCAATAACAACAGGCCTTTTTGAGGAAATGGCATTTGAGCTGAAATTGATGAAAAAGTGCAAAGATCTTTGCTCCCCAAAGGACAGTTTGAGAGCAAAATACAGATTCCTGGGCTGCACACTAGACTTAGCACATTAAAGCTTTAGGGGCAGGGCCCAGAAATCTGCATTTCCCCAAATGACTCCCATTCACACTAAAACTGGAGACCTTCTGCCCTGGACTTTTTAGAGGGGATGATACGTGGTGAATGTCAGGCTCCCTTCCAACACCCAGAACCCGTGGTTTGGGAAAAGGAAGTTCTTGGGTGTGGGGGCCAGGCTCGGAAGCTGAGCGGGGTTCTGGCTGGATGGCAAGGTGCTGCAAGCCCATGAGCAAAGCAAGCCCAGCAACTCCCACACTAGAAGGATTGCTCACTGGGGCCTCCTCTCCGTGGCTGATCTCTGAGGTGCCCTCCCTCACCTTTGCTTCCCTGCGTCATTTCATTTCTCCCGCTTACGAGGGTTGCCATCTTGGAGGCCTAGATTAGGTCTCTTGCTTTGGGAACATTTCAAACAGCTTGGCACAGACCTTCTCTGCAGATGTATTTTATGATCCGGAGCCTTGGATGCCTGTGCCTCCCCACCCCACCCACCTGCCCAGGTGGGCTACACAGCTCTTCAGGCTGTGGGCCCTGGGACCTGCTTAGCAACCGACTCCCCTGGGGTGGAAGTTTTACACCTTTCAGCTGCTGCAGCAGGAGCACCCGCTTAATTACAAGGAGCCACAGCTCTGTCCCGCCTTGGTTGTTTCCCGGTCTTTATAGTGGGGGCTCGGGTTCTCCCAGGGAGCAAGGAGAAACAAGAAACCCGTTTTGCTCACCTATAAATGCTCTTTACCCCCTTTTACACCCACTTCCGGTGCTACTGGGTCCTCCCCCCGTGGCCTCTGTTTCCCCATCTGTTCCGTGGGAGGAACCGCTGAGATTTCTTTGGCAGCAGAAAAAGAGGGGAGGGGGAGATTTGCTTTAAAAGAGCTCTTCTCTCATCCCCGGGTCTCCTCACTCCGCCCGTGACGCCTGGGGCACGTGTGGTCCCCAGCCTCCGCTGGGGCTTCCCACGCCAGTGGTGGGAGGACGGACCTGTCCGCTGGTGTCACTGTCAGCTCAGGGAGGAGGAAGGGGTGGCAGCAAGGTCGCAGAGCGCCACTCGGTGCTGCCCCCGCCCAGCTCCCCGCAGTGCTGTCCCGGCCCCGCGGGCAAGCAGGCAAGCGGGCAACCGGCCCTCGCCCTCCCCGCCGGCCCAGGCCGGGAGGAGCGGCGCCCCCCAGCCCCACAGCGTGGAGCCGGCATCCCGGGCTGAGAGGCCAGGCGGCGTGCAGGCGGCGGACGCCGGAGTCGGGCGGGGGCGGCTCCCATGAGGCTTACGCTGGGCTGCTCCGTCCCCAGGCCCAGGTGAGACAGCACCATGGGGCAGGCGGGCTGCAAGGGGCTCTACCAGTCGCTGTTCGACTACAAGACTGAGAAGTATGTCATCGCCAAGAACAAGAAGGTGGGCCTGCTCTACCGGCTGCTGCAGGTCTCCATCCTGACCTACCTGGTGGTGTGAGTGCTTGGGGGCTTGCTGAAAGGGGGGGCGGGGGCCAGCAGCGGTGGCCTTTCCAGAGCCCCGGATTAGGCCTGTGAGCACATCGTTGGGGGTCCGTGACCCTCCTTGGGAGGGGCTCTCCTTGAGCTCTTAAGTATAAGGGTGGGGTGTAAGAAGGGAGCCCTCTACTCCCAGACACCGGCTCTGGAGGTGACAAGACGCGGCAGGGGCTTCTTGGTGCCTTGATCTACGAGGCTTTCCCCAGGCAGCGCCCTCCTCCAGGCCTGGAGCCCCGTACTAGGTCTGTAGGAAGGGGTCAAGGGTGCAGGGGGCTGGGCTGCAGCTGTCGCCCGGGAGCCTCCCACACTGGGTAGGTTATTTATAATCACTGAGCTCAGTGCCAAGCCTCTGCTGGGACAACTCATGAGCCCGGCATGTCCCTCTGATCAACTCACCCCACCAGAGGCTGGCCGGCCGCTCTGGTGTCCAGCTGGGGGTCCTGCCCAGGCCTTCCACCCCACCCACACCCCCCTCCCACCTGGAGGAAGCTGGTGCCAAACGCAGAGGGGCAGCCCCTGGAGGTTGTTCAGCCAGGCACTGTCCAGAGCCCTCACCCCCCAGTAGGGAGGGGACAGGTGGGGGGAGGAAATGACAGCAGAAGATTGCGATTCGGGTGCGTGCACCTCTTTTACTTCTTCGGTAAATGCCGTTGAGTCCCTCCTACTTCCTGCTTGGGGGAGGAGCAGATGTGCCAACTGGGAGGGCAGGTCTGGCATCCCCCGGCTTAGTCCTTAAGGCACCTGGCTGTCTCCCACTTGTTCTTCAACCAGGGGACCTTCCTCCTCTATCTGGGCAACAGTGTCCCCTCATTCTTCCCACCTGGGATCTCCCATAGCTCCCTCTCCTTTTGCTCCCGAACGTCAACTAATTTCCCACAGTGTAATTATACGCTTGTTTGGAGACTCAGGTGCTGAACGTCTGACTCCCCACCAGGCTGGCAGGGGCCTGGCATCACCTAGCTGCTCAGGCAGCAGGTGTGAAACGGATGAGTGAGTGAACGTTCCTTGAGTATTTGCCTCATGCTTCTGTCCAGGCCAGGCCCCGTGCGTCCCACCCCAAACAGCTGCTTGGCCCCAGGGTCTCAGCCATCTTCGAGTTCCTTAGAGACAGGACAACCTCGGGCCAGGACACGATGCCAGCTCTGCCCCCAGAGATGAAGAGGGTGGACAGGTCCTGGTTGGCACCTGCTGTATAGAGAACCCTTACTGGCATCCTGGGAAGCGCAGGGCATCCCTCGTCATGACAGCATGACCTCTCCCAGCCTCGGTTTCCCCAGATTTCCCAAGGTCTGGTTAGCCTAAATGATCTCTGACATTAACAGGAACACCAGCCACGCACTGATGAGTTGTGTTCATCGAGCTCTTCCTCTGGGGCACGGCCTTCCTGTGCTGGGCAATTTGCATGTACCATTTTATTTTTGACATCCTTTTTTTTTTTTTTTTTTTTGTATTTTGAGAAAATTTTAGGCTTACAGAAAAGTTACAGGGGTAGTACAAAAACTTTTAATGCCCGTCACTAGATTCCCCAAATGTTAACGTTTTACCATATTGGTGTTGCCCTACCTTCTCTCTCCATATATATGCAATGTTTTCTGACTGTGTAAGAGTCGATTGCAAAGGTGATGCCTCTTTGCTCCTATATCCTTCGTTGTGTATTTCTTCAAAATAAGGAATTTTCTTATTCAACCAAGTACGAGTAGTTAAGATTAGGAAGTTAACATTGAAATGTTATTATTGTCTAAGCTATAGACTGTTTGTAAATTGTCCCAGTAATTACCTTTATAGGAAAGAAAAGTCTGGGCTCATGCCTTGTACTCAGTTGTCACGTCTTCTTAGGCCCCTTTATGTGGAATTGTTCCTGAGACTTTCTTTGTATTTCATGACACCAACCTTTTTTGGAAGAATACAGAATTTAAAAAAAAAACAAAAACATTTTACATTGAGGTAAAATGCATGGAACATATAATTCACCATTTTCATCATTTAAAATTATACGATGATTACACGTGGTGTTCAGTACATTCACAATGCAGTGCAGCCATCCTCACGACCAAACTCCAGCACATCTCCGTCACCCGCCGAGGAAAACTGTATCTGTTAACAGTCAGTCAGGATTCTCCCCACCTCCATCCCTCGGCAACTGCTAGTCTGCTGTTTGTCTTTATATATTTGCCCACTCTGGTCATTTCGTATAAATCAGATCGTACACGATGTGCTTTGGGCGTGGGGGCTGGCTTCTTTCATTTGGCCTAACGTGTTCAAGGCCCATCCCTGCCCTAGCCTGCGTCAGTACCCATTCCCTGCTGTGGCCGAGTCATAGCCCACTGGGAGGCTCTGCCACGTTTTGTTTATCCACTCACGGGTCGGCTGACATTTGGACTGTTTCTGCTTCTTGACTATCATGAGTAATGCTGCTGAGAACATTCACGTACAGGTTTTTGTATAAACACACGTCTTCGGTGCTTTGGGTCCACCTGCTGGGTCAGGACAGCCTTCTGAGGAACCGCCCAGCGGAGCCCCTCCGCAGCCACGGCCCGTGAAGCCTCCGTCAGCAGTGCTGCTTTCTCCACCTTCTCACCGACACTTGTTATTTTCCGCTTTTTCGATTATAGCCATCTTAGTGAGTGTGGAGTGGTATTTCATTGTGGTTTCTATTTGCATTTCCCTAATGACCGATGAAATAAAGCATATTTTCATGTGCTTATTGGCTTTTTGTATATCTTTTTTTGAGAAATGTCTATTCAAATCCTTGGTTCTTTTTAAAAAAAATATATTTTGTTGATTATACTATTACAATTGTCCATTTTCCTCCCCTTTATTCCTCTCCACCCTGAACACCCCCTCCCACCCATATTCCCCCCTTTAGTTCATGTCCATGTGTCTAAGTTCTTTAGATTCTATATTTCCCACACTACTCTTGCCCCCCCATCTATTTTCTCCCCACTGTCTATGCCACTTATTCTCTGTACCTTCTCCCCTCTCTCTCCTCCTCCCACTCCCCTGTTGCTAACCCTCCATGTGATCTCCATTTCTGTGGCTCCGCTCCTGGTCTAGCTGACTGCTTAGTTTGCTTTTGTTTTAGGTGTGGTTGTTAATAACTGTGAGTTTGCTGTCCTTTCACTGTTTCTATTTTTTATCTTCTTTTTCTTAGGTAAGTCCCTTTAACATTTCATATAAAAAGGTAATAAGGGCTTGGTGATGATGAATTCCTTGAACTTGACCTTAACTGAGAAGCGCTTTATCTGCTCTTCCATTCTAAATTAAAGCTTGGCTGGATAGAGCAATCTTGGATGTAGGTCCTGGCATTTCATGACTTGGAATACCTCTTTCCAGCCCCTTCTTGCCTGTAAGGTCTCTTTTGAGAAATCAGCTGACAGTCTGATGGGGACTCCTTTGTAGGTGACTGTCCCCTTATCTCTTGCTGCTTCTAGGATTCCCTTTTTCATTTAAATCTTGGCTAATGTAATTATGATGTACCTTGGTGTATTCTTTCTTGGGTCCACCTTCTCTGGGACTCTCTGAGCTCCCTGGACTTCCTGGAATTCTATTTCCTTTGCCAGATTGGGGAAGTTCTCCTTTATTATTTGTTCAAATAAGTTTTCCACTTGTGGCTCTTCCTGTTCCCCTTCTGGTACCCCTATAATGCAGATGTTGGAAAGTTTCAAGATGTCCTGGAGGTTCCCAAGCCTCTCCTCATTTTTTTGAATTCTTGTTCTTTCATTGTTTTCTGTTTGTTTGTTTCTTTCTTCCTTCTGGTCCACTCCATTGATTTGAGTCCCAGTTTCCTTTCCATCACTATTGGTTTCCTGTGCATTTTCCTTCATTTCACTTAGTGTAGCCTTCATTTTTTTTGTCTAATTTGCGACCAAAATCAACCAGTTCTGTGAGCATCCTGATCACCAGTATTTTGAACTGTGCATCTGATAGGTTGGCTATCTCTTGGTCACTTAAAAATATTGGCTCTGGGGCTTTGATTTATTCTGTTTGAGTCATAATTTTTTGGTCTGGTTGAGCCTGTTATGTATGAGGGGCAGAGCCTTAGGTGGTCACCAGGGCGGGACAACCCAGTCACAGGGTTGTTATGCTGTATGTGGGGCAGGGTCAGAGAGGGAATAATGGTGCTTGTTCCAGTCTCTCTTGGACTTCAGTCTCTTCTGCCACTTCCCCCAAGCAAATTGGGCCCTTCTGGTGCTGATTCCCGGGTGGGCGGGCTTGTGTACGTTCTAGGACCCTGTGGGTCTCTACAATGAACTCTCCTGTGAGACTGGGAGTCTCTCCCGGCACCTCAACCCCCACAAGTGTTTTCAATCGGTGCTTTTAGGCTTTATTTCCCATTTCTGGGGCCCTGGGTTGCGTGGTCTGTCTCACTGCCCATTTTTTGCGTGGTTTATCTGTGGGTGAATGTGTGTCCCGGTCAGCCAGCCAGCCACCTTGTGCGCCTCACTGGGTTGGGTCTGTTCATTTCGTCCCTGTGCCTGGGGTCTGCCAACCGCTGCCTGCACACCCAGGTCCACCAGCCACTGCATTTTCCTGCTTCGACCCCTCTCCTCTGGCCTTTGACTCCGCCCTTCTTACTGGTCTTGATGAATGGTTTGTTGTTGGATTTCCATACAATTCAATTTTCTGTCTGTTCTGGTTGTGTTTTTGTTTCTAAATCTTTTTTGTCCTTAATTTTGGTTGTTCGAGGAGGCACAGTGTTTCCACCTACGCCTCCATCTTGGCCAGAAGTCCCTTGGTCCATTTTTATGTTAGGTTATTTGTCTTTTGTATTGTTGAGTTGCAAGATTTTTTTAAATATATATTCTGGATACTAGATCCTTTCCAGTTATATGACTCACAAACATCCTTTCCCCTCCTGTAGGTTATCTTTTCACTTTCTCGAGAGTGTATTTTGATGCATTAAAGTTCTTAATTTGGGTAAAGTCCAACTTATCTATTTTTTTCTTTTGTTAATTGAGTTTGGGTGTCAAAAGGTACTGGATCTTGCACTCTAGTTTTGCAGGCTGACCCTCAGTTGGAGTTTGACTGAGGTTGTCCCACGACTGGCTTTAGGTCCTTTGACCCCCTCACCACCTGGAGGTGGTGCTGTTACCCTGTGTGAACCCCTGCAGTTCAGCAGCTTGCCCAAGGCCATATGGCCAGTTTGCGAGTGAGTTTGTCTCATCACAAGTCCTCCCAGCCCCACTGAGAGCAGTGCACTATGGCCTGGGGTTGGTGTCACCTCTGCTGCTTGCAGGACAGGGCTTCAAGCAGCAGCGGGAGTTGTGACCCAGTCCAGGAGCGGGTGGGAAGGACTCTGCCCTGGGCTTGGGGAAACCTGAGCGTGGCGACAAGGCTGATGCCCGCCTTGCCCATCCCCTTCCCGCAGGTGGGTGTTCCTGTTGAAGAAGGGTTACCAAGACACGGACACCTCCCTGCAGAGCAGCATCATCACCAAAGTCAAGGGCGTGACCTTCACCAACACTTCGGAGCTGGGGGAGCGGCTCTGGGATGTTGCTGACTATGTCATCCCCCCCCAGGTCTGAGCCCCACCCAAGCTGGCTGGGGTGGGTCACACGGGAAGCTGCTCTGGGACCCTGGGACCTCAAGCTATTGTCTCCCTTGGCCCAGAACAACTGCCAGGGTTTATAAATAGAGACCCTGTCCAGATCCTCCCCCCACGCCTGCCTCCTTCCCTCTTGACTATGCCTCACGGTAGCAGCGCTGCTCTGTCCCCAACAAACCCTGGGCCTGCCTAAACCAAGTGGGGCTCAGAGAGTTTCCAGGTAAGAGGAGGCCCCTTAGATTGGCCCCTGGCCTGTTCACAGTCCATTTGGACTGGAGCTGCCCCTTCACTGCTCCTTCTCCTCCCGGATCTCGGCTGGGACCCCAGAGACTGAGGCAAGGATAGGGATTTATCGGGTGGGAGCAGTTTGTGGGTATGGGCTTGGGGTGAACCTATTAGAAGACATCTGCTCAGGACTCTGAGGTCAGTGGTCAGAAGGGTGGATGGGATCCACTGATTTTATGGCCCCATTTCCCCAACCCCCATGCAGAGACTCCACCCCTGCTGGGCAGCCCCGGAAAGGCGGGTCCCTAAGAGGGTGCAAGGAGGTTCCTTAACCCCTGTCTGTTCCTCAGGGAGAGAATGTCTTCTTCATCATCACCAACCTGATTGTGACCCCCAACCAGCGGCAGGAAACCTGTGCAGAGGTTCGGTCTGGCGCGGAGAGCGGGGGCAGTGGTGGGAGGCCCGCTAGCACTGGTTGGCCTCTACCCTTCTCCTCCGGAAGCGGGGGTTCCTCTCCCCTCCAAGGGCTCTGGGGGATGTGCGCAAGGGCACGTGCCTGCACCATTTTGGGGAGAAACAGGTTCTCAAAGGGTGTGTGGCCCCAGGCAGGGGAGGAACCTCTCCCAGCTGCTGGGGTGGGACCTGGCTCGGTGCTGGGAGGCCTGCGGGCACCTCCACACAGGCGCCCTTCCTCTCCGGTAGAGCGACAGCATTCCCGATGCCCTGTGCTATGAGGACAGCGACTGCCCTCCTGGGAAGCCTGTCATGACTGGAAATGGTGAGGCCTGGAGTGGCCAGGGCTGGGGGGCAATAGAGGGCCTGGGGCCGGGGGACTCCTGGCATGGTCCCTGTCCTACCCTGCAGGGGTGAGGACTGGCCGCTGCCTGCGGGCAGAGAACCTGACAAGTGGAACCTGTGAGATCTTCGCCTGGTGCCCAGTGGAATCAAGATCCAGGCCAGAGTAAGTGTCTGGGTTCGGGACCCCAGGAGTCACCTGGTCCTGTGTGGTGGGGCCCAGCCTGATGGCAGAGACACGCCCATTGGGGATCCTTGTTCTGAGGACACCCCACAAACATGCACTGGGCACCGCCCCAACATGAGCAAATGAACTGTCCTGGCCAAGGCTCCAGGGCGCCCAGGGAGCAGGCGGCCTCGATCCTCACCACAAGCCTGGGGGCGGTGCAGAGGCGGCCGGGCTTCCTCACTGGCTGTCCTGGCTTGGTTTTCAGGAAGCCACTCCTGGGCAAGGCGGAAGATTTTACCATTTACATAAAGAACTTCATTCGTTTCCCCAAATTCAACTTCTTCAAGTATGTGGGGCTCAGCTACTAGGGACCCAGGGCTGGGGCCTTGGCTGGCCCTCCTCATGGCTGTGCGGGGTCCCTGTGTATGTGTGTGTGTGTTAAAGGAACCACTGGGGGTGCTGTGGGGGTGGGGCTCTGCTCTCCAGCGCACTGGGATGTGGGTGGGGCTCCGGGTGGGGCTCCAGCAGAGGGCTGAAGTCCGGGACTAGGCCTGGGCTTAGTGAGGAGCCCTGGGACTCCTGGGTCAGGTCTAGTTTCTGGCCTGGAAACAGCAAGTCTCCCTTCATTTCACTGTCTGCTCATGGCCTCCGCCCAGGACCAATGTGCTGGACACCAAAGACACAACGTACTTGAAGTCCTGTCACTTTGGCCCCAAGAACCCCTACTGCCCCATCTTCCGACTGGGGTCTGTGGTCAAATGGACAGGAAGCAACTTCCAGGAGATGGCGCTGCAGGTGTGTGGGGTGTGCCCGGGGAGCCTCCCCGGGAGGCCCGAGGGCTCTGGGCCTGGGCCCTGTAATGAGAAGGGAGTGCGTGGGGGGGACCGATGGGGTGGGGAGGCCCTGCAGTGTCACCTGCCCCAGGAACTGCCACTGGCAGGATTTGCTGTGACACACGGCCTGCTTGGGCACTCAGTGAGGGGCACACTCGGCACCTGCTGTTTGGCTCTCAGGCACTGGAGCAGCAGCTGAACCTGAACCAGAAGGAGCCCCAGCACACGCTGGCTCGGTACAAGGCACCTGCCCATTGTAGAAGCTCCCCCGGGTAGTTCTTGTCCTCTCTGACGAAGGAGGCAGGAGGCCACTGGGGCTGGGAGCTGTCAGCGACGCACTTTTCCCAGCCTCTTGTGGGTCTTCCACCTTCCTTCCAGAAAGGTGCCCCGGCCAGCCTGGCCCCCCAGGTCAGCACGTCCCCCGGCTTTTCCAGCTCTCTGTGAAGAGCTGCTTGGTGACTGCTGTCCATCTCCAAAAACTCCTGTGCGCCTACTCTCATCTCTTTTTCCCCCAGGGCGGTGTGATAGGGATCCAGATTGAGTGGGACTGCGACCTTGACAGAGCCCCTTCCGAATGCAGCCCTCGCTATTATTTCAGCCGCCTGGACAGCAGATTTCCAGGGAACTCTGTCTCTTCCGGGTACAACTTCAGGTAACTGGGCTGGGCCTGCTGCCTATGGCCCTGTCCATGTTTTGTGTCCTTTCCTAGGTGCCAGGGCTATGGCAGCCCTTCCTGGGGATCTGTGTCAGAGGGGGAGGTGAGGGAGAAACAGCTGAGGAGAGGTGGGGGGTGGCCTCCTGCAGGGCCTCTGGGGGAGGAGAGAGGGGTCGGCCGTTGCCCTGGGCACACTGTGATGCCGAGGCTTGACTTCTCAGCCACATTGGCTTCATCAGTGCTTCGGTGGCCCTGGGCTGGCCCAGCATGTGGTGGGAAAGGTCTTGTCTCTTGGGGAATGTCTGGCAAGGACTTCAAAGGTCTGGACAAATTTTTATAATGTCAGTAAGAAGATGGACGGGTCTCCTGGGGCAGCTGTGAGCCAGGTCCTGGGGGTGCTTATGAATCTCCCAGGCAGCCAAACCTGTGTTGCCAAACAGGCTGAGGTCTCCCCTGGGCCGTGTCTCCCCAGGTTTGCCAAATATTACCGTGATGGAGCAGGGGTGGAGTTCCGTACCTTGATGAAAGCCTACGGGATCCGCTTTGATGTCATGGTGAATGGCAGGGTGTGTGAGCTGGGCAGGCCCGGGGTGGGGCCGATGTGTTGGGAGGGCTCTGCTTGGAGTCCCTGGGGGTCCTGCTGTCCACCTGCCTCCCTTACCGTGCCTCTCTCTCTCTCTCTGCTTCAGGCAGGGAAGTTCAGCATCATCCCCACAGTCATCAACGTGGGCTCGGGGGTGGCGCTCATGGGTGTTGTGAGTACCTCTCCCCTCCTTCTCCTTTACCCTCTGAGCACTGGTGGGGTGGGGGACACTGCCCCAGGGGAGCTGTCCTGATGCCCCAGAAAGAGCTGTTGGGTCAGCGCAGATGCCGGTAAAGAGGCCTTTCTGGGACTTCATACCCTTCCAGCATTCCCCAGGGGGCAGGGACTGCCCGAGTTTCTCTTTCCAGAGCCAGAGAGGCATCTGCCTGTTGCTCTGGAGCTGGGGCTGGGGCTGGGGTTCTCTGGGATCCCGGATTGGCCCCTGAACTTCTTAAGCCTCATCTCCACTTGTAAAGAGAGGTAGGATCCAGCTATATACAGGGTTTCTCAGCCGTGGCCCTGTGAAACAAGGAACTGATAAAAAAATGTTTTTGGCATCTGGGGGTGGGGGCAGAAAGAGGTGTGCAGAGCCCAAGGTCAGAGGACCAGGTGCCCCTGCGGCACATCCACCAACCTGCTTCTGTCCCTCACCCTCTACTCAGTCATTCCGGAAGCCCCCTCTGTGTTGCCAGTGGATTCGCCCTCTGGTGGAGGAGGCGGGCATTTGCACAACTCACTCTGGTCTGAAGCGCGAGTGGGCTCGGGTGTCAGTGGTCCCAGCTGGGTTAGCTCAGGCTGCCTCCTTTTTCCTGGGCCACCGCTGTGGTGTCCTTGTCATTCGTATCCTCTCCAACCCATCTCTCATACCGACTCCCAGAAAGATCTTTTCAAAATGCCACGATTCTGTGTCAAGCCCCCATTCAAATCCCTCAGTGCCGCCCCCTATAGGATTAGAACCAACGCCTTGAAGGTCTTTGAAGGAGTTTTGCAGGCTCTTCCCCACAGGCCTGCGGAATTTCCCAGGCGGGACAAGCTTGTTCCTACCGCTGCAACGCCCTTCTTGAGCTTCGTTTTTCCCTTTGTACAAACTCCTTTTCAGCCCTCCAGACTCCGCCTAAGCTGGGTCAGGTCCTGTCTCCTCTTGGCTCCCTTGCTCCTCTGCAATCAGAGGACCTGTCATTCTGTGCCATAAGTTACAGGCTTGTCTCCTGTGCCAAAGGGACCGTCCCCAGAGGGCCTCATTGTCTTGTTCCTCCCTGCACCCCAGCGCAGTACCTGGAGAGTGGTGAATGCTCTGCAAACTCCCGATTCCATGGGGTCAGGGTAGTGTGGGAGGTGCTTAGCCTGAGGGATCAGATGGATGCCAGGCTGACCTGGGCTCTACCATGGACCAGCTTAGTGGCCTTAAACAAAGGTGCTCTTTCTGAGCTCAGTTTCCTCATCTGTGAAATGGGGACAGTGATGCCCCATTCTGGGACTATTGACAGGATTGAACGGATGTACGTAGTATGGTCAAATGGCTGTGGGCTCTCCAGAAGGCTATGGTTCTGAGTCAGGGACCCCCAACTCTTTTGCAGGGGTCTTTCCTCTGTGACCTGGTACTCATCTACTTCATCAAAAAGAGCCACTTTTACCGCAACAAGAAATTCGAGGAAGTAAGGTGAGCTACGCTTCCTCCCCAGCGGCCCACGCACGGGGAGCCCTGTGGAGATGGCCGCGTCGGCGCCCCTGCCCCGTCTCAGGACCTTTACCCAGGGTAGAAGTGGAATTTCTGGAGCCGCCCTTGCCTCCAGAGGGTGGTGGCTGTGCTGACAGGTGGCCCACAGGCTGCCCTTCCCTGGGGCGATGTCCTGGCAGCCTGTTTGGTTCTGCAGGTGTGACCGCAGCCTGGCACAGGAGGGAGCCCTGGGCTGAGTCTGGAGGTGGCCTTCAGGCCTGCCTGGCTTCTACCTCCCGTGTGCCCTTCAGCTGGGACTGGCCCCTTCTGGGCCTGCTTCCCCCTGCCCCCCTTTTCTTTCCCCAGTGGGGGCTGCACACAGGAGCCTTTGCTGTTCAGCCAGGCTCAGTCCTGTGACTCTCTTCTTGTAAGCCATATCCCAGGAGGCGGGCATTCACTGGCCTGGGGTGGACTTTACTCCTGCCCCAGCTTTTATTCTTTGCTGACTCAGTGGTTGGCAGCCTCCAGCCAGGAGTGGGGCCTGGTCGGGGAAGGGGTAAGGAAAGGACTGGGACAGAGAAGAAGGGTAAAGGGTGGAGAGGGGTGAAGGAAGAGAGCTTGTAGGGCCTGCAGCAGCTGGGGCAAGGAGGCAGAGGAGGCTGGGCGTCAGCTGGGGTAGGCCGGGCCTACCACATGCTCCTTGAGCTGTCACTTCTTGGGTGCTCGCCTGAGCTCCTTAGCCTGTGACAGGGAAGAAGGGCCACCCTGCTGGTCTCGGAACAGCCTCACCTGTTGTTGTGGGAGGCACAAGGTGTCACTGCCGTGGCTGCTGCTCATAGCTGGGACAGCTCCAGTGGGGCAGCGGCAGAGCACCTGCGTGTGTCTGGGCTGCAGCCAGGGAACCGATCACACTGCCCGTCTCTGCGGATGCTCTGGTCGCCTGCAGAGCTGCCATCGAGAGGCTGTTGTGCTTGTCCGAAGGGTTCCCAGCTTCCCCTTCCCCCTCACCACAGATCTGGCCACCCGACCAATGGAAAGGCGAGTGTGGAGCAGCTGCAGAACCTGCAGACGGTGGAGGCATAGCCAGGGACACGGGCTGAGAGTGGACTTGGTGAAGACCTGGGGCAGAATCTCCTGCAGCTCTGAACTGGAACGGCCTCTCATCTGTGCCTGTGCGGGACAGGGGCTTCCAGGCACCCCTGCCTCTCCTGCATGTTGGGATCATGCTGCAAGCTTCTGTCGTGTGTCGGGGGAGGGGAGCCTCCCAGTGGCCAGCGTTGCTCAGACCTAGAAGAGGAGACCCTGGAGAGGGAAGGGGGCCGGCCAGGGCGTCACTGATACAAGAGTGTTTTCATTTTTTTCTGAGAACCTAGCTAGACATTCATGCACTCAATATCCATACATGTAGTAAACATTTTTTTTGCTGTGGGCTGGGCCCTGTCCAAGAGATGCTCAAATGAGACACTGACCTGGCCCCCAGGGAGGGGCACACACTTGTCATTCCCTTCAAAGACAACGGACATCACAGCCAGGCTCGCCACTCGGACCTTCCTCCAGCCTCTAGCTGAGGCTTGTACAAACTGCTGTAGAAGACAACGGCTCCTCAGAGAAAGACCTTCGCCCCCAGGGATTCAATATAAAGGTGGCCAAGGGGGCAACCAGGAGAGGACCGAACCCTTCAGGAGGCAGCTGGCCCTTGAGGGGACAGGCAGCCTCTGAGGGCTTCTGGGTAAGGTAGGAAAGGGGAGGCAGGGGCCTCTGCTCCGGCCTGACCCACCCAGCCCGGGGAGGCTCTGGGTACGGTGGCTCATCCACGTGGGCGAGCGTTGCCTGTGATTTGGCTCTAGCTGTTCTGTGGGGTTGGTTATCTCTGCCCAGCTTCCCTCCCTCTCTCCTCAAGGGCTGGCTGGGTCTGCAGGGCTAATGACATGGTGCTCAACTGGCAGGTGGAAACCCTTACTAGGGGTCCCTCCGCCTCACCCCTGCCCCTCCTTCCCCACCCTCCTCCGCTGCAGCTGTACCCTGCAGAACTCTGCTGCTTCCCTGCCCTGGTGGCTGTACAGCTTCACTATCCAAAGTGTGGTCCCCGGACCAGCCGCATCACGTCACCTGGGGGCTTGTTAGATGGGCAGTCTCCAGTCCCTTCCTCCTAAATCGGAACCTGCGTTTCAACAACACTCCCCAGTCATTTGTGCGCCCTGTACATTTTGACAGGCCCTGGTTGACACCTGCAAAGCCTGGTTCTGAGGGAGGAAAGAGTCAGCTTTGGTGGGTGGTGCTGATTTCTAGGTCAGACTCACACATTCTACCTTGAGGCTGGCAGGATGCCCCTTCCTGCTCCAGGGAAAGGAGCACCACAATCCACTTAAATTCAAATATTTGAACTAGATGATAACATGATTCAAAATTTAAAAGGTACAAAAGAATAGAGTGGATGTTTCTCTCTCACCCCCGTTCTCAAGGCAACGTGAGTTTCTAGTTCCAAGAGGCTCCCTTGTTTTCAAGCAGAGAATGCACTGGGTCCCTCGTATCCTCCCTCAGGAAATGAGCTTTCCCTCATGTGTGTAGTGTCAGGCCTCATCTCCTCTGTCAGGCAGGAACATGATGGAGCAGCTTAAATACTGTGCTGGGAGGCAGCTGGTGCACTTCCCCCTCCCAGGTCTGAGGAACCCCTGTGCAAACTGAAGGGGAGACAGAGAGCTCCGTGCGGCAGCAACGGCCGCCAGGGCTGTGTTCGCACAGCTGCTGGCCCCTAGGGAGCGTCCTCTTTGGAAGTGCCCTCTGGGCCTCCCTGGGGTCCCAGGGGCAGGGCTCGTCTCTGCACACAGAGGAGGAGGTAAGCTTCCTGCCTGTGGGCCCTTTGGAGAAGGTCAGCAGGGTCTGAAAGAAGGTTTCTGGAGCAAGCAGCTCCCTCCCCCTAGGTTGCCTGGTAACCAGTCTGCAAGCCCACCTGCTCTCTGTGGAAAGTGAACAACCTGGGCCATCCATTACGGTGCTTCGCTTCATCGCTAAAGCAAACCCTTGGACTGAATACTCCAGCATGTTTTATGTTTGGGAGGAAGTGAAGGTCAAGCTGCTCAGGAGTCTGTCTGGTTGCTCTTAACCTGTTTTTGGGATTGCCTGCCAGCAGCCATAAAACCTAAAGACAGTTGTACTATTTATTTTGTATTGGAATGAAAATGTCTTCCTATTCAGTCAGTAAAGATTTACCTATTGCATCAGGTGTTGGGTTAAACGCTGATGACACTGTGGCAAGCAACACAGGAACAGTCCCTGCCAGAGCGCTTCCAGCCCTGGGGGAGCTGAATCTCAACCAGCGGTCACACGTCACCCCAGACTGAACTGCGTTTTCAGTGGAGTAGCCAGAGAAAGTTTCCTCCAGAAAGTGACATAGAAATTGAAATCTGGAAGGTCAGTAGCAGTCTAACCAGGTGACGGAGGAAGCATCACAGGTAAGGGAACCACACGTGAAAAAGCCCTTTGACGAGAAGGGGCAACCGAGGAACTGGATGACGACCGTGTGACTGGAGCTGTGAGGTGTTCCTCCATTTATGTTACATTTTTCCTTACTGATTTTACAGCAAGTGGGAGGGGCAGAGGGCAGGGGCGGGAGGGAAGCATTGAAACCCGGACCAGGGGGTCGAACTCGAACACAGCTCATCGGGACAGTGCTCTAACAGTTGGCCGGAGTCTCATCAAGTGAGCAACCTGGCTGGGCTCTTTTCAACTTGAAGTAAGGGTTGTCCCACTAAACTTCACTGCCATGGAGGACTTGTTCAACCTAAACTGTTTTTTCAAGTCCAGCAAAACTTTCCAGGGGGGGGGTCTCCTACTACACGTCAGGGGCGCCACGTTCAGAAAGGCCAGCGCCCCCACTATAGCTTCTGGATAGTGCAGTGCATTTGCACACTGCCAAAGTTCCCTTGCTTTTGCACACTCCCCTCTCCTTTCCTGTGGGTTTTTTTCCCCATAATGTTGGTGTAGGAGTGGGGGTACTCATTAACCTTACGGAACTGGCTTTGAGACAGGAAGAATTGAAGCAGGAGCTTGAGCTCCTCTCGAACATGGGAAAGCTGGCTTCTCTCAGGGTGCCTGCGGCTGGATCAGGAAGATGGCATGGCAGCCTCCTGGGAGCTGACAGGGCAGGAGCACACAAATTGTGCTCATGTTCAGGCCCTGGCCTAAAGAGCCGTCTAGCTGGCATTTCCCTAATGACTGGGTTATCCCATGCCTTTGTCAAAAATACATTTGCATATTGGGTGCTATCCATACAACATCGCGGGAACGCTGCCGTAAAGAGCCCAGTGCCCTCTGGCCCTGATGCAGGGGTCATCAGGACTGACCAGCCACGGCTGCCCTTTCTTCCCTGCCACCCCCAGTTCTCTCTTCTCAGCAGCTACAGCCTACTGGGGAGTGGTTGTGAAGGGGGAATGGGACTTCCTCCAGGAGTCTGTATCTAAGCACCGCAGCTAAGGACTGCAATGCTCTGCAGAGTCCCTAAACCATTCCCCTGGGAATGGCATCTTGCACACCTGGAGGGTGCCACTCGGCTCCAACCAACCGTCTCCACCCAAGTGATGCCACTTTCCTCAAAGCAGACTCTCCATGGACATGGGAACAATCTCTCCAAGGACACAATTTTTTCCCAGGTACTTGCTTCCCCTTAGGCCAGTACACAGCATTAAAGGAGGGGAGATGGCAAATTTTCTGGAACCTGCCCCGAACATGTATTCTCTGACATTGCTATGTGGTTATAAAACAATAAATGGATTAACTTTAAATGTGTCATGATTTTTTTCCCTTCAAGTCTTCATGGTCACCTACGCTTCAGAGGAAAATGTAAGAAAGTGAGGCCAAAAGCAGCAGACACAGAAATGATTAGTGAGCAATGTAACATATTCCTTGTCTTGTGAAGAATGCAAATAAAGGTACGGGAACTCTAAATGAGCAAACCTGAGGACTAGGAAGGCACTAATACTGGCACTTCTCATTCAGTGAGTAATCAGGTAAGACTCTGGAAAGCATTTGGAATTAAGTTTTAATCTTCTGCTTTAGCTTATTAAATTTCCTCAAAAATACAGATATGAAAACATTCATTGCAATATTTTTTATAATAGTGAACATTTCAAACAAGCTCACTGCTTAACAATAGAGGAAGTTAAGTAAATCGGCTCATTTACCTCCCATCCTCCCTCACCAACCCCACCCCTGCCCCACTGCTGCTTCTTCCTTAGCCCACACCAGGAAGGAATCCCCCCTTCCCACTCAGAGAAGGCCCTGAGAGAGGACTGGGGAGTTCTGGAGAGGGGGTGCAAACTACTAATGTGAGCATCTTCAGGGTGGTCAGATGAGGTACTAGAGGAGAGGAAGGCAAAGCTGTGACCTCAGCTGCTTTTTGGCTTCATGTGCAAACATGCAGTCCAGAACCCAAAACGGAATTCCAGGGGCCTGGGTCCCAGATCCATTTCTATTACTGACCATGGGCCAATACTGTCTGCATAAGGAAACTTGAATTCAAGTTCTCAGATCCCTTCTGATCTAAAGCTGATTATTCAAAAAATCCAAATCTGATCACATAACACCAAACTGAAACTTCCAAAGACCTCCCCCAGTACTTCCAGACTTCCCTCAGTGGCTCTTAGAATCAAAGGCACACTCCCCGCTGTGGTCCTCCATGTCCCGGTCCATGTTTCCCTCATAGCTTCTGATGCTTCAGCTACAAGCCGGACTCTTTCCTGCCCAATGGCCCTCACACATGTGCTTTCTTGCAAGTACCCCCTTCTCCACACTTTACTTGACTGTTATTTAACCTTCACTTCTCTGTTATTTCCTCAAAGAAGCCTTTCTTGACCCCTACCTCCCAACCTGGGTTCAGCTTGGGGTTCCTGTGTACTTTCTTCATACCATTTACCATCATTAAAATATCTGTGAAATTAGGTGATGCTGTCTTCCCAGTTAGAGGGGAATATCCTCCTGTAAATTCCAGGAGCATGTTCACTTTAGACAAGCCCAAAGTTTAGTTTAAAAATGTACAGTGTTTAATTTTCAAATCTTAGAGAAGGGCTTGAGTTTACTTTTTAAATGAAAATGACAGCCAGCTGCATGTAACTAGGTGAAATGGAACTGACAGAACACCATTCACCAGAAAGCAGTGGTTCTGGGAAGAAAAGGCTGGGCTCTGAACAAGTTCACTCAGCCAATACAGCAAGAAAAATTCGGATACCTGCATTTGAACCTGGCTCTGCCTTTTCAAAGCTGTGCCTTCTCTGCAGCCTTAGGTTCATTAACGGGGGACAATAATCACAACTACTCCATAAGGACATTGCTAGAATTAAATGAGATAATGGGTGTAAAACGTACAAGGCACAATCACCGGCATATAGGACACACGACGAACATTGTTATTAGTTCTTAAGATGTTAACAGTGAGTTCTCTCTGTATTTAGGTCCTAGCGTAAATGCAGGGAAATTACAGACGGCTAAGCCTCAGTGCCAGCACCCCAGGAGGCAAAACTTAGCGATTCTGCACTCACGACAGACAGGGAGTGAATGTTAAGGTAGGAAAAAACTCCGTCAAGTGTCTCACGCTTCATTTAATCTGAAGAATATTACAAGCTCTTCGTCTTCTGATTTAAGTTATTTATAACGTTACGGAACAAGCAGCGAATTCAACAATTCAAAAACTAAATAAGTCTACACGCTGTTAATTCCTGGCAACAGTCTTCCCAATCTGGTTTTTACAAAAAGTCATCCCTGCCCCCGTTTCAGTAGACGTGCACCATGCCATAGAGGAATGTCCAGAACAGGACGTAGGTGAAGAGGCCTCCGATGAGACCTCCTGTAAAGAGAGGTCTTCGTGACTTAAAATATTTGTTCCATCTCCTTCCCGCCTTGAGAATTAAGAGCAGGGAGAGCAGGATGGAGGCAAGCAGGTAGAAGATGAAGCCGTAGAGGCCGGTGAGGCCGAGGATGCCGGCCGTGGCCCCCGACAGCGCTGACACTGAGGTCCGGCAGTAATCCAGGACCGCGGCGTTGCCTCGCACTGCTGCCTCACTGATGAACGGCGGTCCTTCCCGCTTCGCCACCACAGCGGCCATCGCACCCGCCGGGGCTCAGCCTCTGCTTTCTCGCGGAGCTACGGAGAAAAACCAAGTTACGAGTGGCGCCCCGAGCTTAGCGAGTTGGGTTCATGCGGTCCCTCCCCCTGGGGCTTTCAAAACCTCGCTCCACTCCTAGGTCTTGAACCTTCAACACACGCTGAGAAGGCTGAAAGCTCGGACAAACTCGGGCCTGTTCGGGATGGCGGGGAGAGACAGCACGTCTGCATTCCCCGCCCAGGCTCGCCCGGTTACCTGTAACACGGCAGCAGATAATCACTTGGCCTTCCCTCAAACACCCCGAGATTCAGACTCCCGCAGCGCCATCTTGCTCTAGAGACTGCTGGGAAGGCCCAGATTGCCCATGCGCCAAGCCCTCGCTCCCGCCCTCTAGCGCGTGCGCCGTGGGTCTCCCAAGCACGCCCCGCCTCCAGCTCGTTTTACTACGCACCCACTGGGATTTCTGAGAGCCGAACTGCGACCCGGTGGGTGATTGGTTGGAGATTTGTTAACTATTCATGAGGGGGCGGGCCCAGCCAGACGGCCTTTGTTAACCAGAGGGCGCGGTTCCGTGGATTTTCGCTGCGGGTTTCGCCGAGCGGTACTTGGTTGCTAGATTGGGGTCGAGATGTCCTACATCCCAGGCCAACCAGTCACTGCCGTGGTGGTGAGTGCGCTCGCGCGGGTTCCTCCTCGTCGTGTCTTGCTCCCACTTTGTAGAGCGGTAAACTGACAGCCCAAACAGGTTGACAAAGCTTCGAACCCGTGGCTCCTGCAAACCGCGGCAGAGCTTCAGTCCTGGTTCCAGCCGCGGTCTCCTCAACCGTGTAAAGAGAAAGCTGGGATCCAAGAGCCTTCTCAGAGGCTGGACCTAGCTGGAACCCGCGCGCTACAGTTGCCGCGTTGAACTCCTTTCAGGCATCGGGTCGGGGAGGATTAAGGGGAAAGGCCGGGCTGTGGGAATCTAGGAAAGCTCTCTGGGCCTTCCTGGGCCTGTGATCCCAGCTGGGTAGCCGCAGGGGGCAGGCGCCGGCCCGGACATCCTTGAGTCGTAGCCTCTGGAATGAGGAAGTGCTTCCTCCACCTCAGTGGGAGCAGCCGCCCAGAGAAGGATCTGAGGGGTGGAGGGGTCCAAGGCCTGCGTAGCAGCCCCTTACCCCTCCTTCCTTCTAGCCTTGCCTCCTCGGATTCACCACCGCCCGGTTGAGTAGACTCATACAACTGGCTTGGTTCTGCTCGGAACTTTTCCTAGATCCCCAGACCAGGGGCTAAGTCCATGTCGCCTGCCTGGCACTTGGGGCTGGAGGAGAGACCTTTTGGGGTCAGCTCAGGCCCCCATTTCACACCCCCAACTCACTCCTAGGCTTGTCTTGGGTGTCAGGTGCTGTTAGAATAAAGTGAAGGAGGCCAGAGCCTTAGTTCCAAAGCCAGTGCTACAGCTGGATGTAACCCGGAGACCAGGATGTGGGGGAGAGAGTCCCAGAGAGGTCCAGTCATGGCCAGCCATATAAAGCACTTAGGAAGGACCCAGCTCTCGGAGAAGAGAGCTGTTAGGCAGGCATTGAGTCAGGTGGAAGTCCCTGTTCTGGGGCCATGGCTGTGTTATCTCAGTGGGCGTGCTGGGAGTCAGCTGGTGGTGTGTGAAGTCACTGATAAAGGTGGCATGTGACAATGAACTTAGAGCAGCAGCTCAGGCCAGGGCTGGGAGGAAACATTGCTGGACTTGCTGAGAACTGTCCTAACCTTCACCCTGGCTGTACCCACCTGACCTCCAGATCCCTAGCTGCCCCAGAGAGTAGGGGCCAGGCTTGCTCCTTAGCTGGGATAAATATGGGTACAGGTGAAGAGCCAGGGAGGGGTCAATAACCCACCTGACTTCACCCAACAAGTTAGTGACAAAGCCTTGCCTCCCAGCCCAAGGGCCTGTATTCTTTTTGACCTTGAAGTTGGGTCAAAAGTATGTGTTGGAGGTGGAGCAGGCCTGCAGGAGCTTTTGGGCCTGGGTCCAGTGGGCCTTTGGGATTATGCTTCCTGCTCCCCCTCTGGTGTCATGGTTGGTTCCTGGGCTTTCCTCATAGTTGCAGGACCATGATCTACCCATTCAAATACATTTGAACATGGTAGGTGGGGTCTGGCCTCTCTCGTTGGACTGGGGATGGGGTGGGGGAGGCTTCCTCCCCGGCCCCTGCGATCTCCCAGTGTTGTATCTTGAGAATGTTAAAACCATTCCATCCTCTCGGCTGCCCCAGATGGCTCCTGGCACTCACACTCAACCTGCTTCTCCTCTAGGATCTCCATCTGAGGTGTGGTTGTGCCCAGCCAGGCCAGGCGACCAGATGTTGTCCCCGAGTCTGTTGATCTTGCTTTCCAAGTAGTTCATGTCTCCTGGCCTCTACCTCTCACCTCTGAGAGATGTCATTTTCCTACTGTGTGGTCATCCTAGCATCAAACCTGATCACAACTGGCTCCACTCCCCAACTCCTGAGAGCTCCAGTGGGCTCAGAATGGTCAGGGGGCCAAACTCCTGATAAAGTCCAGATACAGTCTGCTTTTGCTTTTTCCCCGCTTCACGTTAAACTAACTCTCAGCTTCTAGGGTAGGGTGATCTGGTCCGATTCCTGGCATCTGGTGACTGAAGCATGGCTGCTGAAGGCTTTGAAAGGAGCCTGGTATAAGGGGACCACAGCCCCAGATATGGTGGTAAAACTCTAGGACACTTCTCTACCTCCTACTCTGCACGAGAGCAAGGTTTCGGGCTTAGGGAGAAACCCCCTTCCTGGGAGCCAGTCTGCTAGGCCTGGTTTTCATGGCCTTCCTGTCTGGCTTCTGCCTCATCTCACCTCCCAGTTCTGGTCCTGCACTGTCCACCCTGGTCTTATGGACCTGTACCTACAGGACAGCCCCTTCTTCTTTCTGTGAGAGTTTGATCTTCACTTTTCCTGGGCATCTTCGGTCTTGCCCTTCATTGGGCTGGCTCAGCAACCTGAGTTGCCTCAGCAAGTTGCCTTGCATTTTCTTCCAGGGCCTGACCCCTCCTGCCCTGTGTGGTCCCTCCCCTGGGACACAGGCCACTATCAATAGCAAGCATGGTGTCCTTGGTCTTGGGATATGAGGGGCTTAGAGCATGTGTGACAGACAGACTGATTGATACATGAGACAGAGGAAGGGGACAGAAGTTTGGACAAAGGATTGTGTGGGTGGGTTGATGTGGCTGAGTTGAGTCTCAACTCCCCCAGCCTCCCAGGTTGGTGACCAGCTGGATTTGTTCAGGGGTCCCAGGGCCCCAGCCTCCTGGCATGGCTGAGCTGTCCCAGCAGCCTGTGGCTGCTGCAGGAGACAGACCAGATTTGTTCTCCATGTACCCACCAACCCCTACTTCATTTTTTTCTTTGCCAGCAAAGAGTTGAAATTCACAAGCTGCGTCAAGGTGAGAACTTAATCCTGGGCTTCAGCATTGGAGGTGGAATTGACCAGGATCCCTCCCAGAATCCTTTCTCAGAAGATAAGACGGATAAGGTAAGGGGGAGGGTCTTGGGACCTCTCTGCACAAAGAGGCCTGAGGGGGATGTCTCTGCTTCCTGGGCCTTCGTGGAAGGAGCAGACCTCTCATCTCTCTCAAATAGTCTTCTCTAAGAAGGTCTAAAAAATGATCTGGTGGGAATAAGTAGGGGTAGGGGTGAAGACTAGGCCTCCCAGCCCTGGGAAGGCCTGTTCAGACACAGCCCAGGGACAGCAGGGGCTAGAGCATTCATGCCTGGGGGTAGGGGGTAGGCTTGGTGCAGAGATGGACGGATGGACAGCTGGGAGTATGCTGTGCTGGGCTTTGCCCTGTGCATAAGGGGCCAGTCCAGGGAACCTAGGGCTTGAACTGGGCTGTCTCTTCCCAGGGTATTTACGTCACACGAGTATCTGAAGGAGGCCCTGCTGAAATTGCTGGGCTGCAGATTGGCGACAAGATCATGCAGGTAATTGAAGTCCCAAAGGAGCAAAACAAAGCTTGGGTCTGAGGGAGTGGGGCTGGGGCTGTGCCTGCCTCTGGGGTCACTTGGGAGACTCACTGAAGCCATTTTGAAGAAGGCTTTTTTGAGCCCACACTGGCCTTGCCCCCAGGGGAAGCTGGCTGTATTCTCTGTGTGTTGGCTGTCATCCTCTACCCTGGGGGCATCAGCTTGGGGCCTGCTTGGGTAACACAGTCTCCCCAAATCCCAGCATACTTCCAGGTCCCAGAGGGAGGGTACTGAGGTGGCTGTCTTCTCCCCCTGGTTCAGGTGAACGGCTGGGACATGACCATGGTCACACACGACCAGGCCCGGAAACGGCTCACCAAGCGCTCAGAGGAGGTGGTGCGCCTGCTGGTGACCCGGCAGTCACTGCAGAAGGCGGTGCAGCGGTCCATGCTGTCCTAGCGGCCTGCCCAGGTCCCGACGTGTGCCTGCCTCCTCTTGTACCGTGACACTGCTTCCACAGTCTGCTCCTCCTCCTGGCTTCTGCTGAGCGCTGGACCCCCGCTCAGAGGGGAAGAGCTGGTCACAGAGGCCTGACCTGGCCTGCCTTCCCCTCCCACCAGTGGCCCAAGGCTCTGGGACCAACTCTCCCTCAGACACCAAGGACTGGAAACAGTAGCCTGGAGCTGAGTTGTAGTCTGTCTGTAGTGACCACAGGCTCGGTCCCCAGACCCTGCCATCTGGCCTCAGTAATGTCCAGGTGAGCAGCGGGCCCCACCTCTGAGAGTGGCCACAAAGCTGAATAGTGCCAGGTGGGTCCAGCCTCCCACACTACCCTGGCTGCAGGGCTCGGCCCTGCCCTGTCTCAGCTCCGAAGTGCCTGTGTCCCACACTTTCCCCTGTTGCGCAGGGGTGGGGGCATTCTGCACTGCCAGAGGCACTACGAAGCTGGCCAGGATGGAAGCCAGGCTCACAGGGCACCTGTCCCACACCCCCCACCACCCGAGGGGCACTGGCTTCCTGAGGTTTGCCTGCTCGCAGGATTTACACAGGACTGAGGCTAACATTTTAGGGCAGTTCTCAGGATTGCCCTTTTCCCTTGTGCCTGTGGGTTTAACTTTTGTATTTTTCTAATCACAATTTTGATACAAAGCCTCCTTATCTCACTACTTGGAAATGCCAATTCTACTTTTGAATGTAATATACTAATTCAGTCTGGGAATAATGACTCTTAACAAGTCAACAAGCCTTACTTCAGTCACTGTGGAAATGGGGCAGTATGAAGCTACCCCACACCGAACATCTTGTGCCCAATAAACAGTGCTGGAATCCACGGGGTCTTTGCTGAGGCACAGAGGTGGGCTATTTGGGGCTGGATTATGGAGAGAGCTTTGGTTGTAAGGCTGGCTGAGCTGGCCCCAGCTGCTCTGGGATAAAGCCCCACTATTCCTAAGTTTACCTGACACAGTGCTCAGCCTGGCCACATCTACAGTAAAGTGTGGGGGCACTGTCACTGCAAGAGGGGCAGGGAGTCCCCAACTTCCCTTGTAAACTTGGTCTCTGTTTCTACCGAGGAAGAGCCTCATGGACCCCAATGGGTTCATGGGAAAAACAGCCACCCCCTAAGACTCTTAAGAGCACTCAGTTGATCACAGCCAGGGATGCGACCCCAAGTGTTCCCAGGGCTGCCACCTGATGGGATATGGGGAGAATGGGAGAGCTCCAGGGGGTCTGGCTGGCCCGCCACTGGCTGCACTACCAGCTCTGGGAATTGTTGCCACGTGCACACCCACTGCCAAGTCAAATTTTTGAAGTCCCCCATTTTTAAAGTGTGATACCTGGTAACACACTGGGTGGCCAAATTAAACAGGCATGCATACTTGGTCAGGCTACCATCTCTGATTTGGGGAAACAAGATCTAAATTCTTTGGTATTTTTATACCTGGGTATAAAAATATACCCAGGAAGAATCTGGAAAAATCAGTCATCTCTCCACTCCCAGGGGTGGCCAACTCTTAAAGGCCTCTTCCATCCCTGGCTCACAGCCACGCCCCGAGCAGTGTGCCCTTGCTAAGGCACAGATGTGGCACCTGTGGGACCTACCTGGCCCCGAGAAGGCAGGTGTCTTGCACTACCTGAGGGGGTTCCCTGATAAAGTGCCGGGTCGGCACGCAGTCGCTGCGGGACTGGCAAACTTCACAACTCGTGAACGTCCTTACACAAAGTGAGCGGGGCTGTCTCCCTAAGTCCCAAGGACTCGGTGCTGAAGATACACACCTGCCTCCTGCATCTGGCAAACGCTCAGCGTACAAAAGGAAACAACAGGTTTTAATTCAGGATATACACTCACACTGAGCTTGTAGTAGGAAGTTGAGAGTGGGCTGACAAACTCGAAGCACGTACAAGGCACGTCTGGGCCCCGCCCCCTGCCCCTGGAAGGACAACTGGTTGGGTTGGGAGGGAAGGAGACTTAGGACCAGGGTTGGCCTATGAAGGTTGTGTGAGGTGGTCATAAGTCCTTATCTTAAGGCTTCCGGAACAGCCAAAAATTGGTGAGCCTCAGACGGAGGTCTGGGGAGGTGAAGGAAGGCAGGCCTGCCCTGCCACCCGGGGGAGCTATGCTCACCACCTAGCAGGTTCAACAGGCCTCTAAGGCACAGAAAGGGGGAGGGACTCACATGGGGCCCCTGACTCTGGGAAAGTGGAGGTAGGCAGACAGCCACTCCTAAAACATCCCTCCAAAAATTCCAAAAGGGGTGTTAGTGGGACAAAGATCCAGAGGGTGTTGGATGTGAGCCCAGTTTAGAACCAATCTGTTGAGCACCTCCGGACCCAGAAAGACTGCATCTTTAGTAGGCGCTGGCCTGGGCCCCCTGGGCCTGCCGCTGTGAAAACTGAGTTCTAGATAATGTAGCCTTCAGAGAAGGGACCCCAAGGCTTACCCCCAAAGTCCTAGCCCCCCCCCGCCACTGCCACCAGCACCTCTCCATCCACTGGCCACAATGCCTGGCTGCTTAGTCTTTAGGAACACGGCAGTGGCACCCAAATGCCCTTGGCTGTCCCAGCCGCAAGGTCAGTACTTCGAGCTGCTCCCTGACACACTGGGTGCTCGGGCAAGGCCTTCAGCTCCTAGCTCAATGTCCAGTCCTGCTTGGGATGGCTGTCAGGACCTGTGGGTGCTGCCTGAAGCCTTAAAGAGAATAGAGATGGCAACGGCAAGTTGCAGGAGGGCCAGGTGACTGGCCAAGTAACACCCGAGAGGGCCACCAGCAGTCTGGCTGTTAATCTCGGAGCACAGTCTGGTGTCTGTCCCAGAGGGAGGTTTCTCCCCGGCCCTGGAGAGTCTGGACGAAGGCAGGCTGGTTCATGTTAAAGGCATGTGACCCTGAGGAAGAGAGCGCTTCTCCACTGCCGGTGTGTGTTGTGGAGCCAGCCCTGCTCTCTAGACCGCTTTTCTAGCCTTCCTCCTGGGCACAGGGCCTGGGCCATTTACACTGGGGCCCTGCGTGCTAGTTCACCCGCTCATACCCTGGTTTCTTTCTGTACAAGCAGAAGTGCTGGATGAAGAAGACAATATCGAAGAAGATGGAGAAGATGCCGAGTCCAAACTTGGTTGGGTCTCCAAAGATCAGTGTCCACTGGTCTGTTAACAGCCAGAGGGGACAGAATTTGGTTTTAGGTTGGCAGCCTGTGGAGCTGTGGAGGGTGGGGGTGGGGGTCCTCCCCTCTTCAGGAAACCACAAACCCTCCAGCTGCGGATGCCCCTTGGGGAATCTAGGGGCTGGGACTGCTAGGATGACCAAGCTGTGGGGCTGGGGAGATGGGGGCAGCCCGGCCGCCTGCTGATTGACTCACCATTGTTGTAGGACTGGAGGAACATCTGGAGGAGGCTGAAGGAGCCCCCAGTGAAGTCCAGAAGCACATTGCCAATGCTCCAGCCCTCGGTGCTTTTGTAGACAAAGTTCATGTAGGCCTGGGCACACAAAGCGATGGAGGGCGGTGAGGAGGTTGGGTGGCTGCCTCACGCACCTTGTGACTGCCACTCCAAACAAGAGCGGCTCTAATTCATCCCACTCATGTGCTCCAGCCTCTGCTCCAAGGAACACAGTGACCTTTGGGCTCTGACAAGTTTTTGACAGAGAAGTCTGGGTGGGTCCTGGGGTCTGGGCAGCGTGCACAGTATACAGCCCCCCCCTCCTCCCACCCCTGCACCACAGCTCCAGTGGAGGGAGGCTGGCAGGCTGCTTCTGCATCTTCCTCATCCCTCCCTGTTCTGGGTCAAAACTTTATTATGGCTTTTCAGCCACTCAGATTTCTCTCATCTCTAGTGAAGACTCTCCCTAAACTCAGCCTGGACTTCATGATGTACTTGGGAATGTGGCTGGAAGTCTGCCTGCCTGGCTGAAACGCCAGCTCCACCACTGGAGCTTGGTTTCCTTGGGAAAAGTATTTGATTCTCCCTCTGAAGAGTGTGCTTACCTCCTGCCCCAGCCCCGCCTGAGCTCCTGGCTATCTCTTCCCGGGCCCACTGGGGAGCACACCCCACCCCTGCTGCCAGCGCCCCACTCATCCCTCCAACGCCAGCACCCTCTGGGCTTCTCTGACTTGGCTTCATTAGTGGTCTTCTCCCAGTCAGCCATCAGCCATGGCCCCTTTTTTGTCCTTTCCCTCCCTCTCTATACTTGCTGCCACCTCTCCAGTCATGGACAGTTTCAAATGTCTCCACATGGGACTCCTGCCTCCCAGGTTTTCTAGCCCCAAGCTTCCCCACATTCAGGGATTGAGGCCCCACTTCCCTCAAGGCCCAGCTTCCTTCAGCCCAACACTGCTCAGCCAGACAGGTCTCCTTGCTGCCTCCCACACTCCTGTCTGTGCCTTTGTGTAGGCTGCCCGAGCCCGGAATGCCCCCTTCTCTGGTGTCCACAGAATTATGTCCTGTTTATCCTTAAAGGTCTGGCCCTGTTTGCAGGTCCTCTTGGGAGACTGGCCCCGACTCTGGCCAAAACATTTTCCTTCCTGAGCCCATGGGACACAAGGTTCCTTGTGCTGGAGAAGCTGAAAAGGGGGCTTCTCCACTGAGAACGGGGCAGATTGAGCACCTCCACTCAAAAGTGGAGTCTGCATTTGGCACTACTTCATTTCTGACCCTGTCCTGAACCATCCAACTATGGGGAAGACATGTTTGATCTGAGTAGGGCTGACTACTTTTGGCGGGGGGGGGGGGGGGGGGGGGGGCGGTGGTTGCTGAGGGCCCACAAGAGACCCTGAATGGGACCTCTGAGAAAAACCTCTCTGCACAGGAGTGGAGGTGGTCGTGGTGGTCTCTCCTCCCACCTCATCTTTCCCAGGTATCCTGCTGCTGCTGGTCAGGGATGTCAGTAATGGGGCGCAGAACTGACGTCATCAGCTGGGATGGAGAGACAGAGTGACCTGCACAACCTGACTCTCCCAGTGGCTGTGAGCTCGGAAGAGTCTCCACTGAACTCTGCGTGATTTCCGGCTGCAGGGAGGAGCTGGCAGTGGCAATGGGCAGCTTCCACCACCGCCCATCCCCCGCCCCATGGCTGCTGGGCTCACAGCTTCCACTGAAGCTTTCCAGCCAGGAGTAGGTCCCGGGGTCTGTATTTCACTGACCCCTCGCCCTGACTGCCCAGTGAAAAGTAGGGCAGGCCCTGGAGGTACCTGTGGAAAATACTTGACCAGCGTCACTGCGAGCTTGATGTAGGAGAAACAGAAGAGAAACTGCAGCCATGAGGTCACCCCGACTGCAGCCAAAACCAAGATGACGAGTGCGAAGAGCCACGCGAGCACCAGGAAGCCAATGGCAGGCCAGGACACACGCTGGTCACCTCGCTGAGGATGAGGTGGGGCGGAAAGACGGGAGTAGAGTATGTGGGGTGTGGGGGAGGGCCCCTGTCACAACAGTGGTCTCTAGCTTAGTCCCTCTTGGACTTCCAGAGTCCATTTCTTCTTGCTCCCACAATGCAGACTGAGTGCTTCTCCGAGCCCACCAGGAGCGCCAGGTGTTGGGGACAGAGCCCAACACCTCATCCCAGCCCTGGCTTGTTCCACAATCCGGAGGGTGCCTGATCGTCTCTGCAATCTGTCCCCTTCCCCTACCTGTCCCCAGAGGCGGCCTCCTTCATCCAAGATTCACAGCAAAGAGTAAAGAAACCTAGGAGACTCATGAAGGTGGTGCCCAAGCGGCCCCTGGCTGGCCCTGCATGTGTGAAGGGAGCTCCCTGAGGGACGTGGAAACCCACAGGGAAGTGAAAGAAAATGTGCATGTTAGTGACCCTCTGAAACGTGGCCTACAACACCCTTTCCAGCTGAAGCACCAAAAAAGCCATCTGGCAACACAGTTGAGTGCAGGCCCCTCAGCTTGGGTCCCAGACCCCCGAGGACCTCTCAGGACCCTGACAAGCCTACGCCCCACAGTGGAACCCTGAACCCTGGCTACCCCCCCGTGTGCAGTTCCTCATTGCCACCTGGCCTCGACAGCTCTGCCTCCCAGCTGGGGGAGCCCCGCCCTGGCCCTCTTCCCCACGGCCAAGGGAACTTGACTCATCCCACGGACCACAAAAGAACACCACTCTCTTGATGCCCTCCTTCCCCCTCCTCACTGGTTGGGCCACGCCTTCTAAGAGCTGTCCATGCTCTCCCCTCACCCTCAGCTCTAAGCCCGCTGGGTCATCTCTGCCTCTCTGTGTCCCTCACCCCAGACCTGTAGGTGGGGGATGAGAGCTTCGGCTCAGAGGGTGGTCTCTTGGCCCAATAAGCAGATGCTGAGTGAACAAACACATGTCCTTTTTAAGGGTTTCCGTGTCTTCTGCAGTAAAGCAGCCAGTGGGGGGGGGGGGGGGGGGGGCGGGGCGGTGGTGGTGGGTGCTGGCCTGGCAGCCACAGGGGGAGGTGCCAATTTCACCCCTCACCTCATACAGAAGGCACTGCACCAGGACGACCAGGGTGAGGGCGACAGCGTGCAGGCTGAAGAAGACATCATTACTCTCCACGGGGTTCACTCCATTTGGGTATTTGAGGAAAAACTGCTCCTGTTAAGGGGGTGGGGAGAAGCTGAGGTGAGAGGGGCAGCCAGGACATGAATGACATGGGCTGGGCTGTGGTGGGCGGGCAGAACCGTACCTTGATGTGTGGCACCCAGAACAGGCCGACGTTGAACACGCTGTAGGCCATGAAGCCCATCAGGTTCAGGGTAACGAAGTCAAAGCTGAGACCAACCACGCTGTGGGGCAGGGAGATGGAAGACAAAGCAGGCCAGTAGGCGAGACTTGGCCAGTGAAGGCCTGGGACGGGCAGAGCTCCCTGCACAGGGGAAGGGGGGCCTGGCTGCCCCCAGCAGATCTGTCCTCAGGTCCTCCTTCGTGGCCTAATCGATGCCCCCAATCCCACCCTCCTGAGAACCAATTTCCTCCTGTGTCAAGTCTGGTCCCACAGGGAAGTCTGGAGGCCTTCTGCACGAAGGAAGCCTCTTCCTTTCTTTGGGGACTCCCAGTGCGGCAGCCCCCAAAGAGGCCCATGTGGCTAGAGTGACAGCAGGAACGCTGGTGTCCCTGCTGTATGAAGACACAACCCCAGGCCCCCCTTGTCCTTCCTTCCATTGATGTATGATCAACATACAACATCCTATGCATTTTTGGAGTACATCATAATGCTCTGGTGTTTATCTATACATTACGAAATGGTCCCCACGATGTGTAGTTACCATCTGTCACTACACAAAGCTATTACAATGTTACTGATTATACCCCTGTGCTATACCTCACTTCCTCAGGACTTCACAACTGCAAGTTCATGCCTCTGAATCCCCTTCACCTATTTCACCCACTCCCCAAATGCCCCCCGCCCAGTACCCACCACTTTGTTTCCTGTATCTATGAGTCTGTTTGATTATATATATATATTGTATAATGTGCATCTTCTTGTCTGTCGATGGACACTTTGGCTGTTTCCATGCTTTGGCTACTGTAAATAATGCTGCAGTGAACCTAGGGGCGCACGTATCTTTCCAAATTAGAGCTCTCATCATCCTCGGATGGATGTCCGGAGGTGGAACTGCTGGATCATATGGTGGTTCTATTTTTGACTTTTTGAGGACCCTCCATACTGTTTTCCACAGTGGCTGCACCATTTTAAATTGCCACCAGTGTATATGAGGGTTCCCTTTCCTCCAAGTCCTGGACAATACTTGTTGCCTCTTCGTTTTGTTAGTTTCTTCGCTGTGCACAAAGTTTATAGTTTGATGTAATTCCACTTGTTTTACTTTTGTCACCCTTGTCTGAGAAGACATATCCAAAAGGAAAACACTGCTAAGACTAACTGATGTTGAAGAGCTTACTGCCCATGTTTTCTTTGAGTTCTGTGGTCTTAGGTCTTACATTCAAGTCTAATCAAAATGGTGTAAGACACTGGTCAGATTTCATCATTTTGCATGTCTCTCTCCAGTTTTCCCAGCACCATTTATTGAAGAGACTGTCTTTACCCCATTGTGTATTCTTGACTCCTTTGTCGTAGACTGACCGTGTATGTGTGGGTTTATTTCTGGGCTCTCTACTCTATTCCATTAATCTGTGTGTCTGTTTTTGTGGCAGCGCCATGCTGTTTGGATTATTTTATGCTTAGAGTTTGGTATCAGGAACGTGACATGTGACATCTCTTCTTTGTCAAGATTGCTTTGGACATTTGGGGTCTTTGTGTTTCCATACTAATTTTAGGATTCTTTGTTCTAGTTCTGTGAAAAATGCCATTGGGAATTTGATGGGGATTGCACTGAATCTGCACATTGCCTTGGTTAAGTAAGGACATTTTCATAGTATTAATTCTTCCAGTCCGTGAGTATGGTATCTTTCCATTATTTGTATCTTCATCAATTTCTTTCATCAATGTCTTACAGTTTTCAGAATACATGTCTTTAACTTCCTAGGTGTTTTAATTTTTTAATATAATTGTAAATGGGATTGTTTTCTTAATTTCTTTCTGAAACACTGTTATTAGTGCACAGAAAGGCAACATAAGCGGATTTCCTTCATGTGTAGTCTAGGTGCCTTTTAAACCACTGTTTCCCTTGAAGAGGCCCCTCAGTGACATCCCTGCCTGCTGCCGGTGTCCACGTCGGGAATGGGATTCCCTTTGCTCTCACGTCTCCATCCCTCCCACCCTTCTCCAGGTGGTCCCTCTACCCTGTGTTGTGCAGAGGCTGTTCAATGGGCCCTCAGTTCTTCTTTGGCAGGAACTACTCTGTGTGTAGGTGTGTATTTGGTATGTCTGTGGGAGGAGGCGAGTTCAGGGTCTCCCTACACCTGTATCCGAGCCTGGCCTCTCCTCTTTGTTTTAGTGTTCATTATGTAAAATATATATATATATTTTTTTATCCCACTTTGTTTTTAAACTCAAAGCAGAAGGCTTAATCTCCCAGGCTGAAGAATCCAACTCTGGCGCTGTCACATGACTTGACACTAATTCCTCCAGGCTTGGGCTGACCAAGATGAAACATATTCAGGTTTACTTCTTCTCCACCCAGCCCATTCTCCACTTCACTGAGAAGCCTCATTTTGTTACTTTCACAGGAAGTAGCTGAATTTGGCAAGAGATCAACTGCCCAGCGGTCCAAGTGCTACCACAGGCTCTTAGAGCTTTCAGATCGACAACTTTCTAGAAAGGGTGGGAAGAGAGGGGGGTAAAGTCTGAAGCCATGCTACCTACAGCCTTGCTGGAATGCCCATCATACTGGCACCAAATGAACCTGCACGTGTAGCTCAGCAGATTACCTTTTCCGCCTCCAGTTCATGATCACCTGAGGGTAGAAGGAAACAGACCAGGCTGCAAAGTAGATCCAGCCAATCACCTGGTTTATGATGTTAATGATGTTGCTGTGGATCACCAAGAAGCGTATCCTTGGCCTAGGAAGAATTTGGGGGCCAGAATGAGCTGAGGACGGGTTCCTGAGGGAAAGCCCCATGCGCCCAGCACCCCCTCCCTTCTCTGAATTTAAGCCCCAGCTTACCCGGTTTGGTTGGAATGATTTCTATGCAGAAAAACAGTAATTTGTCCCACATTCTGAGATGTCACTTGGAAAGAGGATTCTGTCACTCTGGGAGGCACCACAACCTATGAGGAAAACTGAATTTGATCCAGTGCCATGTTACTGGAACTTCACTGAGTATCTAGCTCAAGGCTAAGATCACACAAGTCCCTGTATTCCAGGCACTTACTAATAACAGGAAGAAACGCTGGACCGCCAGCTACCTGGAACCCCTCATACACCTGCGTATTAGGCTTTCTGAGCAGAACTCGGTTCTGCCCTCAGGCTCCCCTGTCTTATCTCTGAGGGAAGGCGGGATGGCTCTCTTCCTTGTGGATCAAGCTAGACCTCAGAGAGCTGAGTGCCAGAACTTGCTGTTAGAACCAATGGCGTTTCTGCAGCTCCTTTCCCAACCACACAGGACCTCATGATGTGCCGCATCGTTATCAATTTCATCCCTGCATTCACCTTGTCTGTTTTTTTTTTTTAAAAAAAAACACCCTCATTCACTCTATACTGCCTCCCCATTGATGGTTTTTTTAAAATCTAATTTATCAGTGATTGGCTCAAATCCTTGGTGAGGCAGAAACAGGGTATATATTAACAGACAAATGCATAAGGGCTGTGTAGTTATTACTGTGATATCAGACAGTCTCTGGCACTGGATCTTGGAAATAACACTCAACCAATAGAATCTCAGAACAGTGCTTTGCAGACTTTAAGGTGCACCCCAATCCTCCAGGGATCTTCTTGTTCATATGCAGATTCTGAATCAGTAGACCTGGAATGCGCCTGAGATTCTGCATTTCTAAAAGGCTTTCAAGCAGGGACAATGCTCCTGGTCCTTGCACACCCTCGAAACAGCAAGGTCTTAGAAAACTATCTTAAGAATTTCTTCTACATTCTCAGAACCATTTTTTGTCTCAGAGTTCTTGCCATCACTTTCCTAATTCCATCTACATGGCATTGGACACCCACCCTCAAAGAGACCAACAAATCCCAGACCATCATTTTTAGAATGATGAGACGGGGCTGCCCGTGGTATAAAAACAAGGTGGACTATTTCCAGAAGCACTCAACCCATCAGTTACGGTTCATTACTTACTTCGTCAGGGAGCTCAATGATAGTAACATTCTTTGAACGAAATGTGATTTCAAAAGTGATCACCATGGTTGAATTTAACGGATGCCTGTGGGGGACAAGAGTCTGATTACTACTGAGAAGCTGGACCTGGTGAGATCTCAACCAACCTTCTGGATTTCACACGGGGCCTGTCATTTCTCCTGTAGTCAGGGTGAGGAAGTGCTATGTGCTTATCCGTAGGGGTGGGAGGCTCCCTGCTCACAGGAGTTTCTATTTTTATCAGGAGATAAAGATCCCTTTGGGGCTGGGTGAGACCATGAGAAGGTGTGAAAGTAGCTATGAATGCCAAACAGGATGTCCAGAGGCCAACAGGACCATGACATTTGCTCTGGGGGGGAAAGACTTACTCGGGTCTGAGCAGGGAGCAGCGCTTCCCCAGAAAGCTGTGAGCTACGCCTGACTGTGAGCAGCCCATGGGGGCCTCCAGGACTTAGAGGCCTGATGTTACTTTGAAAGGCAGTGGCAAGCAGCTCAGAGATTCTGGAAAGGGAGAGTTGTGGTCAGGGGATGACTGTCAAGATTTACGAGGGGTCAATGTGCAGAGGTGGCAGGGGCTGGAAACGGAATGCAAATCTTTTGGGGAACCATGGTACTGAAGCTTTGGTTTGAGAACAGACTTCCCAGGAGAGGTGAGGAAAAGGGAGAGAGAGAGGGGAACAGGGCTCCTGACCTTCATTGTCGGGAATCCTCGTGACTGGGAGGCAAGAGCAGGGCAAAGCAGGGGAGGACTAGGAGGAGAGGGAGGCTCTGTGGCGCAGCTGGACTTGCTCAGCACCCTCATGCCTGAACCAGCAAGACAGACTCTCAGACGAGGCGAAGCATGAGAGTGCGCCGGTGGGATCCACCAGACGGAGTCACTTCCGCTTTGGGAAGTGGCCTAAGAAGTGCTCAGCTCCTTACCCCCTCACCGTCAGGGCCCTCCTCAAATATTAGAGCCTCGGAAAGGAGGACTCGGAAGTCTGGCATCACCTACTGGTCACTCGAGGACTCTGCTCAGCTGGGGAAAAGGCTTGTGACTGGGGAGAAGCCTCCTTCTGGCTTCTTCCATGGGAAACAGGGATTCAGCAGATGGGGAAAGAGAGACTTTGGGACCTTGGTCTGAAGCCCGGGGCGAGCACTTCTCTTTCTCTGGCTTCTCATAAAGTGAAGAGGCAAGAGCATGACACTTGAAACATGAACTGAGCTAGCTGTGGGGTCGGCCAGCTGGGCTGAGGACAGCACTGGGCCTGGGAACTTACTGAAGGGTGATGCTGACATTGGCCGAGCTCCCATTTTCCAGCTTCACAGTGGGAGGTACGGCAAGGTTGACCGCCGACTCTGGAAGGACCCAAATCGATGGCATTAGTCATTAGGTCAGAGAACTTATGCCCAAAAGGAAAGACTGGGACAAGGGCCCCTGACACCTGAACTCATGAACTGACTCATGATAAGCCCTATCATCTAGGTGGAGGCAGGGAGGTTCTGAGAGGCTAAGTGATGGGACTGGTACCTGAGCTCTATAAGCTCTTTCATCTCCTGCCACCTGAGACAGGGAGACACAGGCCTGAGCAGGAGACGCTGTAGCTTCCTCCTCCCCAACATGACAGGCTCTGAGGCTATGTGGCTGAGTAATCCAGAGACAGTGTTAGAGTCACAGACCCCAAAAACTGTCACGAAGGAATCCAAACCATGCTCTGGGGTTAGAAAAGTGGACTTGAATCACCTCTTCAGATGAAAATCATAGGCATCTCTCATCTTCGTAGGGCCTCAGTGGCCCCACAGAACTGGTCCAGCCCTTCCTGTACTCAGACCCATAGGGCCCAGCTAACCTGTTTTTGAAGAAACCCTTTAGGGCTCCTGTATGACCCTTAGCCCCTCATTCACTGACCCCCTTCCTGAGGCTGCCTCTGCTGGGGACCGGGGGAAAACTGATGAACAAGACACACCGTTTCACTCTCAAGTACCTCCTCCTGGCATTAACTCCGAGAAAGTAAATGAATAGGCCTCGGGGGTAAGGAAAGAAGCAGGTTTGGGAGGCCACATGCCCTAGAGCAACTTGGCCACAGAACTTGAGTGAGTCAGCCTCTCTCTGACCTCTTCCTGCGTTCTTAGGGGCAGCCCACACCCCCGATCCCACCCCTGCTCCCGGGCACGCTTGGCACCTGTGCACCTTACCCCCCTTACCTCAGGGCCTTCAGGATTACGCACAACATAATGTGTGATTATGAGTCTAGATGGGAACAGGAAGAGGCCCAGGGTAAAGCAAATGCTCAGCTTGATGAAGATGGTCCTTGCTGGGTTAGCAGCTACAAGCGGGGCCCAGGGCTCCCTCTCCCAAGACCCATGAAAGGTAGAAGGTGAACAAATTTTAGGTCTCAAGTTGGAAGGGCACTTAGTTCTCCCCAGTCTGATCCCCCCTCTCCGTCCTCCTCCCTGGCAGTTTCTCTTCCTCTGCCTAGACACCGAGGGATGGTGACTCCACTTCCTCCAAGGGAAAGGCCCAGTCTGGAACTTGTACTCCTGGGCCTGGATCTGCTGCCTGAGACCTCTCAGACCCACCTGAGCCACCTTCTCCTTGCTAACTGTGCACGCGTGAATGCAGATGCAGACTCTGTCCCCTGCCTGCAAGTCTCCAAGCTGACTCCACCAGGGTTCCTGAGTGGCATGCCCCCTTGCTGACCCTTGCAGAGGCCAAGCTGTTCAGAGCAGAGTAGAACGGTCCCTCCCTTACTTGCAGCCTCAGGGCTTGGAGGCAGCTTTGACAACTCTGCCTTTTCTTTTGCACACTCTACTCTCGTAATAACCTGTTTCTTTGCTGTGGGCTTGCACAGCTGGGGTAGGCCCCTGCTGTTACTTTCTTCCTGGAGCTGAGGACACCAGATAAGCAATATTGTGACAAGACCGTACCCAGGACAGAGTTGCTGAAAGTGATACCAGGCAGCTGCCAACCTCTCTGGGTCCCCAGGGCTCCACCGGGAGTGTGGTCAGGGTGAGTGGGAGAGCCCCACGGCCTTTGCTCTTCCACTGCCTTTACATTGTAAAAGAAGAGGCTGTGAACTTCCAAAAAAAGTGGACCAAGGAATGTTCCCTTCCTTCTTACTGCCACTGAAGACAGCAGAGCTCAGCAACTGAAACTGGGCTCTGAGGTCAAGCAGATCCATCCTGGCCCTGTCACTTCTAGCTGTGTGACTATGGGCAAGGTACTTAACCTGAGACTGCTTCCTCACCTGTAAAATGGGGAGAATAGTACCACAGGGCATCCTGAAGATAAAGTGGTGATGTTTGTGACTTTCCACAGGTCCTGAGTGCAACATAATTGCTGTTCACTATTCTTAACATCATGGAAACAAGGCACGGGGCAGTTTTTAAACTCAAGATGGGAGGCGGTTGGAGAGCTGGCACTGCACTCTGGGAAAGCACATTTTTAAGTTGAGGCAGGAGTCTCTGGACACAACACTGGAGTTACCAAATGAGTCCTAATGAGACCATGCCAAGTTTCCTCTATGGATTCTGTTTTACTTTTTTTTTTTTTTTGGAACTAATGCTTATTGGCACTTCCTATGGTGCTCCTGGCCCCACGCCAGCCCCTCTGCTACACTGTTAACTCCCAACCTCGTATTACTACAATGCGGAGAGGTGGGCACTTCAGATATAAGAGATTGAGGATCCCAAGAGGGAAAGTGTCTTGCCCACACAGCTCAAAAATGGTGGTGGCAGGATTCAAACCTGGGCCTGTCCGGTCTAAACCCCAGGTGTTTGCCACTAAATTGCAGTGCCTCTCAAGGTTCTGCCCAAGTAAGTCAGACAAAAAAGACTCTGAAGGCTTAAGGCCCCGATGATCATTGTCCCTACTTCCCCAACGTAGGGACAATGGGCCTGGCAGAATGAGGTCAGAAAGCAATTCCGGTTAACTTGATTTCACGGTGGTTTCCACTGTTCATTATAATGACATTCAAGACAGGAGGCAAAGTGATAAAATGGAGCAAGGACCCTGCACAGTAGGGACCCTTTGTCACGTTCTAGCTCTGTGACTGGGGAAGACTTCTATCTTCTCTGTATATTTGAGGTGGATTTGCTCTTCTTCTTTAGAGCAATGTGTTAGCATTATTAATGGAGCTTTAAAAATATTTGATTTATTTATTTTTAGAGAGTGGAAGGGAGGGAGAAAGACAGACAGAAACATTAATGTGTGGTTGCCTCTTGCGAGCCCTGTACGGGGGACCTGGCCTGCAACCCAGGCACGTGCCCTGAATGGAAATAGAACTGGTGACCCTTCAGTTTGCAGGCCCATGCTCAACCCATTGAGTTATACCAACCAGGTCTAATGGAACTTTATTTAAAGCCTGCCAATGCATATATAGATATGCATACTGGGGCCCTGGTCCCAGAGAATATGACCCAGCAGGTGTGGAGTGGGGCTCCGGCATTTGTACCAAGAAACACCAGGCTTCCTAGTCTGACCTTTCCTTTCCTGGAAACTGCTTATCTTCGAGGTATGACTGTATAGTGACAATACTGATTTTTTTAATGAGCCCGGAAGCGCTGGTCAGATGCTCTGTTCACAGACACATAAGAGGTCAGATAACTGTAATGGTGCAGCCACTATGCCTGGATTTTGGGAAGCTTCCGTTGGATTTGTATCATTTGCACAAGATTAATTTGAAATCTTCAGTCAGGGTTTTTAAGATCTGATTTTTGACAATGGCGTGGGGTCCTAGAAGTGCTCAACACAAATTCTTCTTGTGGAAGGAATTTCAGCAACGTTTTGGGCAGTGGGAGAATTAACAGAATGTCACAGGCCTCTAAAAATTCTGCCCTACAAGGCTGTACAAACCCTGCTGTTTTTTTCCTGACAACCAGCTAGTGTTCTGTGAGGCCTCTAGCCCTGTTCTTCGGTTCCTCGTTAAAGGAAAGGTTTTCTCATCTTACAAGGGGATGCTGGGAAGATTCATTAGGTGTCCGTGGCCTGGCAGAACCAGGTACAACAAGGTGCCTATGTCACCTGCTTCTGCAGCATCTCCTAGAACCCAGTACTCCCTCTGTGGAGTCCACAGGGCAGGAACACAAGCCGTTCTTTATGGATATTGTTGCACATTGTTGGAGCTCCACAGTTTGATTTTGGTGACACAGACAAGGTCATAGAGACATGGGGCAGAAGACCAATTATTTATGGAATCATCTGGCTCCCTGTAAAACTCCTGGACCCCAGACCTGGGTCTGCTCCACACCCGGGGGCTGCATGAGCAAGGGCCAGGCAGGCACATGCACTCTGGACAGTCCTAAATCCTTGGCCAGAAACAGGTCAGGCTACTTGCTCTATACCACTATTTCCCTCTTTACAAAGCTGATGACCTATTTCTAAACTTACCACACTTCTCTATCAGCTTCAGGGGGGAAAGTATAGAAATAATCAGCCAACTCCTTATCATGTTCCTCGATTTCAAAGAGCTAGGGAGAAAAACAAACAGCAAGAGAAGTTCAGGTTAAAGTAGGATCAGCTCAGCAACAAGTGGACATTATAACCCCTGGAACCCTGGCATGAACAGTTCATAAACAACTTCCACTTCATACCTGTGACCTCATGCATGGGCTCTGCATCGGCAGCCTGAAGAACAGGACTCCAGGGAGGACTTAATCATTCTTTGATATGTGGAGAAATGGGCTCAGAAAAACTAAGTGGGTTGTGTAAAGTCTCACTCTGAGGAAGTGGGCAAATACTGAATTCTTCTCTCAACTGCTTCTTGCAAGCTAACAGAAAGAATGTAGTTTTACTGGCTGAGGTCTCTTCCCCACCCCTTAAAGTTATTAAAACCGTGGTCAGATATTTGACTGTGTGAATCTATAAACCTTAAGGAAATTAATTTTATTCTTTATCTTGGGATAAGAGCTTAAGGGTTGTTATTTTCCTTAATACTGTTGAAAACGACAACGCGCAGCTGTCCTTGCTTTCTTCAGCCCGAAAGCCCCCGAGAGCTAGGTAGGGTCTCCTCCTGCCCACTTTTCCAGAGCCCAGTTCAGAGCTCAGCACGCCAAGAGGAGATTTGGAATGGTCCCCCCAGAGTCTCCCACCACCACGACAATCTGCAAACTCCGCAGCTCAGATTCAGACGGCACCCGAGCAGAGAAGGAGGAGAAGGGGCTCGGACATGCCCTGGGGTAGTCAGCCACACCATCTCAGCAACCCGGTGAACCCGACCTCCGCTCACCACCACTCGAACCTGAGGACTGTCCGGTGTCGCACGGCCGGGGCTGGTGGCAGGGGGTGGAACCCTGGCGCACCTGAGGGTGCCAGGATTTGAGGCAGGCTGCCCAACCAGCTTGTTGCACCAGTCTCTGGGCTTCATAGAGTCGACCTGGGAAATGGGTGGGAGGCTGCTGGGTCCGTACGGGGTTCTCACCTGAGATCCTCTGAGGCTCCACTGGCTGACCACACAGGACGTAGGAGATGTACCGGTTTCTCCCGCCGGGTAGACTTTGTGTGAGCTTGGGCCTGAAGTCACATGAACTGAATCACCTGATTTCCAAGTAAATATAGCCGCGCGAAGCACTCCGGGAACTGTAGTTTTAACGAATCTTTGCAGGACAACCGGGTGGGGTAGCGGAGGCGCTCAGACACCAAGGCGAGGATGGCAGCTCGGTGTGAGGCAGTAGGCTCACGCCGTAGGGACGCATCCCAAGGGCCCGTCAGCAAGCCTGCACTACTTGCGAGAGCCTGCCGTGGTGGGGAAGTCGCTGTCACTGTCCCCGCACTCCAGCTCCATGGGGCGGTGCCCTCTAGGTCCCGCCTTCCGTTGCTTCTCCACCTATAGCCGGGCCCATCGCGAGGGTGCGTGGGGCCCCGCTTTCCTCGACCAATTGGAAGACGAGCAGCCCTCGTTTTCAGTGTAGCAGAGGGCGTAGCAAGCGAGGCTCCGCCTCTGTACCTCGCTCGCGGGTGAAGTGTGCGGCCGGGGCCCCTCCGCCGCAGAAGAGACCGAAGCTGGCCCCCACGGCCATGGCTGCACCGTCCGTCACTCTTGGCATCGACCTGGGCACCACGTCCGTGAAGGCGGCAGTGCTGGAGGCCGCTCCCCACGACCCATCAGGGTTCGTGACACTGGCCAGCTGTGTCCGGGCCGCGCGGGCGGAGGCGGCAGCCCAGAGCGCGGCGGCCGGGTCGCAGGTGAGGCAGTGCCCTGGCGCCGCGCCGCCTCCAGGAGCTCCTGACAGCCCTCTTCTTCTCTCGGGAGGCCACCCCGACACCCCTCTTCCTCACAGAGGTCTCCCTGACTGTTCCAGCCTGCAGGTCCCAAGAGCTTTCCCGCCTGTTGGCACCGGTCTCCCCACTCTCTGGCCTCCTCAAGGGCCCTTATGGTGTCCAACCCCTTGCTCTCTGCCCTCCATTTCTGTATCCCGACCTGCGGAGAATTCCTCTCCTTGTGTAATTCTCCTCACACCTGCCTGCGTCCTCCAGTTCTGGGCAGAGTTTGGGTTTCCCCCTGGAAATCGGCTGCAGAGTCTGGCCTGACAGCAGCAGAATGTGGGCTGAGGAACTCCAACACTTGGTCAACAAAAGTCAGCCCCCTCCCCAAGTCTCCTAGGACTGAGGCCCTTTGGAGGAAACACAGAAGGACGGATAGAAAGGCCTTGGAGGAAAGACAGACAGAAGATAGACATTGAGAGACATGTCGTTAGAAGATGATCAGATTGATACACTGTGCGGTTTAGTGTCTTGTGAAAGCTGCAAGATAGAAATGGAGAATTTTACCACAATGGATTTTGGTGTCAGGTGTGGCTTCAGAAAGGATGTCAATCCTCAGAGCTGAATCCCATTAATTCCCTGGAAAAAGTAGCTCTGTGTTTAGTTAATTGACAGTAGAAATTAATATCAAGGAACTTTGAGTAACCTCCTCTCTGGATCTCAGCTTGTTCTTCTCCGAGTTGAAATAGGTGGCCTCTGTGGCCCCTTCTAGCCACAGACCTCCATTTTCTGAGCCACACACTGCTCCCGAGAGCTTTGTTTTTCCCAAGCTCTTGCCACATATCTGGACTCAGTTATTTAGAGTTCAGAGTCCGTCTTGCTCTGAAGCATTTCAGAAGATTAAGAATTCAGGAACACTTTGCGTTTTCAGAGAGGCTTTCAAAATTAGTTTGATGGGGGCATCAGGGCATTGTAGAATGAAGATTTCACTTCGTGAACTGCAAGGTGGGGGTGAAGTCGGCTCCAACTCTGTGGGAGTGAGCAGCAGAACCAGGACCGCAGGGAGAGAGGGTTTATGCAGGGCTACTCCTTGAACACTGCTTTCCCTGCTTCCCCCAGCGACCAGCGGGGTCTTCTCTGCTTACAGGCTCTGTGCCGAACCTACTGAGGGGACGAGGGGAGGCCAGTAACAGCCCCCCAGCAAGCCCCACATGTGTGTTCTGCTGTGGGACAAAGAGCAGTCATAGCATTTTATCTACAGCAGGATTTCTCAACCTTGGCACTGTCGATTGTTTTGAGTTGGATGTTTCTTTGTGGTGGGGAGCTGTCCTGTGCCCTGTAAAATGTTTAGCAGCATCTCAGGCCTCTAACCCACCACATGCCAGTAGAACCCTCTTCCCCAAGTTTTGACACCCCAAAACATTTTCATATTGCCACATGTCCCCAGGAGACAGGAAGCACTGGGGTGAGAACCACTGATCTGTAGAAATAGCTGATGGCTCTGTTCTTTCCTCACGACCATACCTCTCAGCCTTTAGAAGTGTCGTGCATGCCGTGGTCAAGCTTGGCAACCATGTGGAAAGTCAGGCCTTTAGGTATTTGCAACTAGGGTTTTAGAGGGAAGCTCTGTGACTCTTTCTGAGTTACAAATTTTTCCTTTGGGCCTCAGTTTTCTCATCCGTAAAAAGGAGCATGAAGGAGGAGGGTTGACTGACTTTCTGAGTTCTTTTTTCAAATCTAAAGTGCAAGGGTTTGATCTTGATGCAAACCAGTTGATAATCTGAACCAAGGAATGGGGGCAGCACCTTTCCTGTTACAGTGTGGGTACACCCACCGCCTGTCCCCCATCACAGCACCAAAACTTGAACTGCCTGCTGAACACTGCCCGTCTCCTTGTCTTCACTGCCATCTGGCCTGTTTTCCTCCTCCACTATCCCCAAGCACACAGCCTGCACCACCCCGGCCCAGCTGACACAGTAGCACCTCTGTCCTGGGTGGATGCACTATCTGATTGCATCGTGCGAACTCTTTAAGCCAGGACTGTCCAACAGAAATGTGAGCCACACCTGTAATTTTCAGTTTCTAGTAGTCATATTTTTTAAAAAAGTAAAAAATAGCAAGTGAAGTGAATTTATTGATTTTTTTATTGGGGTGACAGTGGTTACTAAAATTATATATATAGGTTTCAGGTGTACAGTTGTGTAATCTGTCACCTGTATGTTGTGTTGTGTGTTCACCACCCCGGGCAAGTCTCCTTCTATCACCATGTATCCTCCTCTGTACCTTCTTCTATGTCCCCCATACCTGAGATGAATTCTAATTGCATATTTTATTTAACTCAGTGTTCCCATTGTGGTATCATTCCAACATATAATAATTAATAAAAATGATTAATGACATTGTGCATTCTTTTTCCCCCCATACGCAGTCTGAAAGCTGGTCTGGATTTCACACTGCCAGCACATTGCAGTTCAGGTCAGCCACATGTGGCCGATGACTGCCGTGCGGGACAGCGCAGGTCTAAATGTCCTTGCGTCCTTCTCCCTTCCCCCACTGTTGCCTTTCTTTCCCTTTGGGGATCATGCACAGCCATGTGCCTCCTCCTTGTCTGTCACTGCCTAGTCAGTTCTGCTGTCGGCTCCCCTGTATATGAAGAATCTTGTTTGGATCTGGGCTTGCCTCCTCAGGAAAGTGCTTTATGCTTTCTCTCTCTCCCTCCCCTGTTCTTCCCTTTCCTTCTGCTCCTCTCTTCATGCTTATTAGCAGCCAAGAATTGCCTCTGACCAAGGCCAGGAGGCTGACAGGGGGCAAGTGAGGGGTTTGTTCCGAGGAGGAGAGGGCCACACTGCCCCGTGGAGGGAGGCAAGGGGCCCGAGGGCTGTGTCTTCAGATGCTTTTCCAGGTCCATAAGCTTCCTCAGTTCCCCAAGAAACAGACTATAAATTTATTAAGAGCTGAGCCACATTTCTCTTCTGAATTTTCCATGTGTTCTTGTAGGTATTAAATATAAATTTATTTTGTGCCTTGTAATTTTTATGTGGCAGAAACATTTTACTTTGGTTGAAATCAAAGTAAGTATTCCATTTATTAAATTCAGAGCCCTAGGTCTTACTTAAGCTTTTAAACTTATAAAGCTTATTCCCTTGTAAGTCTCATATTTAGCCGCCATTTTTGAAGGCTTTCGATGAATACTTAATCCCATTTTGGTAATTAAATACCTTGGATGTTTTAAACTGCAGTTATACATTTTCTTTTCTAGGCACTGCAGTTGTCTGACCTAAATCTTTTCAGAGGACTTAAATAATTTTTATAAATCTAATAAATTAAATATATACTTATACAAACCTTAAGTGCTCTTATATGTTTTAAATCCTTTTATAAATATAGTGAGATTTGAATTTATAATCACAAATCTAGATCACTCAGTTTCACATTTTATTTTTTATCTTTCCTTTTTAACTTTTAAAAATTTCACATTAAAAAAAGATTTTATTTTATTTATTGTTAAAGAGAGGGGAAGGGAGGGGAAAAGACGGAGAGAAACACTGATGTGAGGAGACATCAATTGTCTGCCTCTTGCACACGCCCAGACCAGTGACTGAGCCCATGACCCCCGCATGTGCCCGACCGGGAATCCAGCTGGTGACCTTCCACTTGGCAGGATGGTGCCCAACCAACTGATCCACATTGGCCAGGCTCGATTTCACATTTTAAATTGGAGTTACAAAGGTCATCTCTGCCAAATTCTCTTAAACATATACATTTACTTAAAATACCAAATAATCAAGGATTTTTTAAGCAAAAATACAGGGGTGGGCAAAAGTAGGTTTTTGGTTCATATGAAAAATCATAATACAATAGTTAATAAATAACAATATAAGAATAAACGTCCATACGTAACTGTAAACCTACTTTTGCCCATACCCTGTGTTAATCATATGAGTATGATTTTTAAAAACATCTGTACACTTACTATTTTTTATATAGCTTTAAAAAAAAGATCTTATTCAGTTTTAGAAAGAGGGGATTGGAGGGAGAAAGGGAAGAAGAGCCTCTTGCTCAGCCCCCCGCTGGGAACCTGGCCCCATGACCCAGGCACGTGTCCTGACCAGGAATTGAACCAGCAGCCTTTCAGTTCGCAGGTTGGTACTCAATCCACTGAGCCACACCAGCAAGGGCAAAATATTTATGTTTTTATTTCTTGATCTTTCCACTTTGAAATTTACTTATTTACCAAGAAAATAATGATGTTCCTTGGGTTGCTTTCCCAAGTGCACATTTTGTGGTAGCCTCCTTAGCTTATTGAGACTTTACTGATTGGGGCATCTGCTGGGATGGGATCAGACCCTAGATTTTTATGTGTTTCTAGTCTCTAAGAGGGGCTTCATCATTTAAAGAAGAGGTGGTCAGGGAACCCACATTTCTTATGGTCGAGTCACATTGTTGCCTACTTTGGAAGTTAGGCTGTACCTCCCACCTTTTTGGATATACTGCTTGATTGGGTATAGCATTTCTTTAGCTCTGAGATCTGGCTTCAAAGACCTTTGAATGTTTCCAAATTCTGTGTTCTTTTCATATTCTTGTCTCTTAGGACCATTGGACTTAGTAATAATATGCTGTTTGATTACATTCCACTTATTTCTCATGACTGTGTCTCTC